AGCTGCTCACAAAGAAGCCAGTGAGTGTCGGGGACGTGGTGGTTTTCGACTCGCCTTGCAAGGTATACCAGAACCCAACAAACGCATCCCTAGGAAAGCGTGGAGCGCCAGGAATTATTGTCGATTAAAGAAGTAGCCAAGGAGTACAAGGTACTGATTCCCGGAAAGCAGGTCGTGGTGACTACTCGACACGTGAACCAAATCGAAACCCTGACAGCTGACGCAAACATGCAGATGAGACAGGCGCTCGAGTCAGAAGCTGAAGACGAGCTCTAGCAACTAGCAGATGAACGAGACGAAAGTAGACGACGGGAGGAGTCCAACGGCGAGCGCTCAGGAGAACGAGCTGCCGCACAACCCGCGTCGACACCGACACCGATGGCTCCGGCACATAAACAAACGCGCGCGAAACGTGACAAGGAGTCAAAATCGAAGTCTAAATCGAACAGACCATAAAAGGCTTCGGAACACACAGACGCAGAGGAAGAAGTATCAGATGAAGATGATGACGATAGAAAAAGGCTTCCACGCAGGTCTGGACGTGTGAGAACGACGTCGGCGAAGCAGAAGGCTGTCGACGATGCGAAAGAGCCAGTGCGACGCGGACCGCTAGAGCCAGTTGCCGCCGCGGCGCTGTTTCAATCGGTTTCGATGTCCGCATTAGTGGTGGGGGAGGAGCAGTACACAAACTTGCCCGACCCAAAGACGCACAAGGCGTCACGCGCACTTCCAGACGCGCACCTCTGGGCCCAGGCGATGGACGACGAGATCGCGTCGCTGGAAACAAACAACACATGGCAGGTGATCAAATGCGAGAATCACATGCACGTGCTCCGCAACAATTTTTTGTTTTTTGGATGCTCAAAAAGAAAATGAACGGCATCGGGTCCATCGAACGCTACAAAGCAAGACTTGTAGCAGGAGGCGACGATCAAGTGCTTGGACGACACTACGGCCTGACATTCACAGCTGATTTGGACATGACTAGCAGCAAGATCATTATCGCTCTCGCCTGTCTCTGGAACGTGCGCGCGCGACACTTTGACGTCCCGAGCGCCTACTCGAAGGCCTACAAGGAGGAGGAGATTGAGATAAACATGCGCGTTCCAGAGGGAATGATGATCGGTGACGATCAGCTACGGAAGATCAACGTGGTGAACGTCGGCGAGACGTGCCTGTGGCTCATCAAAAGCCTTTACGGCCTCAATCAGGCCGGCCGACTGTGGAGCCAGCTACTCGACTAAACGCTGAATGGCGTCGGATTCTCACAATCAGCCACGGACGCATGTGTATACGTGAAGACAACAGCTTAAGGCTTGACAGTAGTGGGATTGTATGCCGACGACCTGCTTGCAGTCGCGACGAGCGACAAGATGATTGACGCCTTTGGCGCGGCGATGCAGAGCCTGGAGCTCAAGTGCCTCGGGAGCGTCAAAACCTTTCTGGGCATGCGCATCGGGTAAGATGACTTGCACGAGTACACCGTCGACCAAGAGCAAATGATACCAAACTACTTCAAAAGAACCGTCTGGAGAAGGAGAACGCAGTGCGCTCACCAATTAGTGACGAAGCTTCGATCGAGTCAGAGAGCACCGACTCGCAGCCGCTTCCCGCGCATGGAGCCGGCACTGCAGAACTACCGACGATCAAGAGTTTCTAGAGCCATTTCGGGAGCCTGCTGTGGGTCGCACGATGCAGTCGACCCGACATCGCGTACGAGGTTCACCGCGCGACACGCCGCAGCCACGCGCCCAGCGACCACGACATGAAGCTCGCGCGTTGAGTGCTGAGGTACCTCGCTGGCACGGCTGAAATTAAACTGCACATGGGCGGCGAGTCGAGTGACAATGAAGTGAGACTCACTAGCTACACTGGCGCGGATTACGCGGCCGACAAGGCCACGTAAAGTCGATCAGCGGTGCGGTGCTGCTCGTCGACGGGATACCCGTCGGATGGCAAGTCAAGCAACAGTACTTAGTCGCGCTCTCAACTGCGGAATCCGAGTTTGTGGCAGCATCAGTTGGTGCGAAAGAGCTCCTGGGCGTAAAGTATCTACTGCGTGAGATGAATGTGAGTGCGAAGTTGACGATGCAGATGATGGTAGACAAACAAGCTGCTATCAATCAGATCGACAACGAATCCACGTCGAGCGCACAGAAGCACGTCGACGTGAAAATGACGTTCGTACGCGACACGAGCTCCAAGGGCATCGTGAAGCTCGAGTACATCGCGTCCAACGAGATGATCTCGGATCTACTGACGAAAAGTGTCCCGGCGCCAAGAGTCGCCGACCTGCGTGAGATGATAGGATTGCGGTAAGTGCGGTGCCGCGGGAGGAGTGTTGGAAGACGAGGCAAGGCACCTGACAGGAAGGATGGAAAAATTTGTGCGGGAGAGACACAGTGGAGAAGCTGTACGGGAGAGAGACAACGGAGACAGAGTGCAGCTTGCAGAACTCCTGAGATAGTGAAGAGCATCTGTACGCAGTGTATAGTGAGATCAAGAGTAAATTTTGTGCCAACCTCAATCACACAATACACATTGGATAACCACATCGACCGCGCACTCGTTTCTCTCTTTGCACGCGGATGCAAAGTCAACAGCGCACGCATCCTAAGTTTTATGTTGGTCATCTCCGCCCGTACTATCAGCACGAGATCTCTTTTGAGAACGGAGATAGCCGGCACACTCAAGATTCCCCAACAGATTCTTGTGATCACGGATCAAACACTCAAGCTCGCCCTTCAGTAACTCAGCCTCGCGACGAGCCGCCTGCAGCCCGTCGCTCAAATGACGCTTCTCGCGTTCGTTTTCAAGCTGAGCGAACGCGAATTCCGATCGGTCTTTCTCCCGATCGGTACAAAAGCGTCGCACGGTCGCCAACGAGTCGTGTCGACGATCGTACTCGTAATCGACGTCCTCTCTCAACTCGGTCAGGTAACGTTCATAGTTACCCAAAGTCTCCTGCAGGCCCGGCAGCTGAGCCGGATCGTGTATTTCCACCGCCACCGGAACCACTGATGTATTCTCACGGTGGTCGACGCTTTCACGTGGGGCGTATCTTGAGCCACCGAGTGAAGAACGGGTAGCGGACAAGTTACCTTGTCCGCTGGCGTGGGTATCCACCATCGTATGACATCTGGGAACCTCGATCCCAGCTGATGGCTGATGTTGAGGGTCTCGTCCACCAGTACGGCGAGACTCATCCGATAGGTCCGAGGACCCATCGGTAAACATTCGCTTTTGGCGCTTGTAGACGGATTGCAAGTTTGCAATCGCGTCCCGCATCTCGGCCGAGATGTGTGCCCTTCCCCAGGGCGAACTTAGGGAATCGACGTTCCTATGTGCACGTTGCGAGTTGTCAACACAACTCGCACAAGTATCACCCCAAGTGAGGCAAGGGATGCATGCCTTACTCGACAAACGATGCAGCCGGTACCTTGCACCGGTTGGCGTTCGCTTTTCAAACTTGATGCGTACTGCTTCAAGCTTTTGGATCCATCCTTGTCGTCCAAAATTCTTGACATTTTGGACGAACGCGTTCCACGCCGCCAAAAGCGAGGCCTTGTCACGCTTTTAGTTACCATTGTACCATCGATGCTTGAGGAAAGCATCGAGAAGAAAGTCTTCTTCAGCGCGAAAGTTCTTCGCGCTCGAACTCAAGCCGTGAAGCTCATTCGCAACGAATAATGGTATTCGATGGTGTTGGCTTGTCTCGTGAGACAAGCTATTAATGAGCTGATATGGCAAATGCCACGGCTTCAGCTCATCACGCTTCGACGAGCTACCTTTGCCGGTTCCACGGGTTTCAGTATGACGACGGCTCGCGCCATTGTCAACGCGCTCGTGCGAAGGCGCACGAGTTGCCTGTTGTGATGAGTAACCGTACTCATCGCCATATTCATCATCACTGTCGAACAGACCGTGACGCATGTCGCGAGTCCGTTCGTTCGGCAGGTCTCTTGATGAACGAGGCACCGCAGGTGAGCGCGATGCCTCTAAAGGCTTTTCCGAGTCAGAGTAGCTGACCCCTAGCTCGAGGTAACTGTGTGCATGTGGTGCAATACCACATGCGCCTGTAGCAACACTTGCTGCAAGCAGAGAATGAGCAGCAGACGACGACTCGTCTGCTGCAGAGGCTGGCACGGTAGCAGACTGTGTCGTCTTTGAATCGCCCCGCATAGACATGTTAACTATGCGGGGCAAATTCAGAATGAATGGGTCTGACCAACAAGTGCTCCCCGTCCTGTTGGCATCCAACGGGTGGCCACAAAAGTTTTGATAGTCACACGTTGACTATAAGTTAAGGGGGTCGATGTAACGGGGTAGCCCGTTACATGGAATTGTCATTGAGGATAAAATGACAATAAAGAATATTACGTTGAATATTCTTTCAACAATATCACAAAGGATGATGATGTTGTTGGGATGACCGAAGGGTCTACTCATTGGTTGATGTCGTGATGATATCCACCCACCAATCGCTGCTAGACGCGCGCAATGGGTGGCGAGTAGGCGTCATCATACGTTTAGTTGGATTAATATAATCAAGTCAGGACGAACAGAGACACAAGAGTGGTAGGACTTAATTGTCCTAAATGACAGTTTTACTTTTACCAGAGACTAGAGCCTTTGCCTTAGTCGTGACCTTCCTCTGTGTAAGTGTTTACACCTAGCTGGGCACTGACCTTCACTGTTGTCAGTGAAAGATAAACTCCGTACTGGTAGTCCAGTACGTAGTCGTGGGTGCCCCGTTACATAAATGGGATCCAAGAATGACATGTTTTCGTTCACTCTGACAAAGACAGAACTAAAAACACAGCTGCGTTTCCACCTTGGCTCATCTGGATGACCAGTCTCTACACTATCGTTGAAGTCATCAAGACTTCTTTGTTAATGCACAAATGACCGAAAAATAGCGGAAGAGTTTTCTTGCGCAATCACCTGTACAACTGATTACAAACTGGATAATTGAACGGACCATATAGTTCACTATAAGTCTAGCGACTAGCCGACTGACCGTCAGCAAGCAGGTTCGAGCCGTATACCGCACATAAGCGGAACAGTCGACGGAATACACAAGCAACGTGCGATCCAAACACACCGCGGTACATGTGCGCTTCACCGACAACCAACAATCTACATCACAACATTGCAGGCGTCTCATGGTATTAGTAATCCGTACGACTGCCACAAGTCTCGCCGTTGCATTCCTCACCTGAGATTCGAAAACACCCGCTTCCAGTGCCGATGCTGCGGAAGAATTGTCACGTGGAGCACGTCTACGTTGGTCAAGAATATCCGCGTCTCCCGAATTACCATCGATCGACTTTTCATGGGCGTGTTGCCGTCCTGCACGACAGCGAACGGAGACTGTCGTCTCGTTGAGGTCTAAAGATCTTGCGGACGTAGTCGAGCACTTGAAGACTCCCTTGCTTATCCAGCACATGATTGTACTCGGAGCAACCAGATGACTGGATGCAAGCTGGACAGCCTTCCGAGCACCCACATTCACTTATGATTGTCCACGACTTTTCGACCAGCTGTTCCAAAAAAAGCCAGCATAAACAGTCATCAGAAATTGAACGCGCAAACCTAACTGGCAGCCATCATACCTTCGGAAGCACCTTCACGATTTCAGGAACTAATCCACATCCTCCCTCGCGCTTCTCGTAGATTGTCACGCGATTTGGTCTGCCAAATGAACGTTTCACAAGTGTGAGTAGACTAACGTTAAGACGCTACATACAACAATCGTCGTACTTGACACGCCGCTCGAACTCGTTGACATGCTCGGTGCCAACATCTTCAGCGTCGCAAAGTATAAACAGATGAACCAGTGCCACAAAAAGGTGACCGATACCGTGCAATGCCGCGGTCCACGATGCGCCTTCCCTGGCTTCAACTTGCTGCCGCAGTGTAGCAGGAAATTCGAGCCATACAGCCTCTCCAAATGATTGCATAGGAGGCAAGGAAAACTCGCTTGACCCTAGAACTCGCATCGTACGCTTTTCCAGCATCGTTGACCCAAACACTCGAGTCAGGATAGAGACAGTGCCGACGCCGAGCAGAACGCAGTCGCGTTTCGCATTTTGGCTGCCATGCTCGAGCCGCGTGGTGTTGTGTATACGGACGACCTCAAGATCCGTAGAGTCACGGCAAGATGTGAAGTACGTGAGCGGCTCGAGACACTTCATTGCGAACGCTATGCGCAGGTCGTTGTCCACTCGAGTAATCACGTACTCTTGAGCCTGGTGAAGATACACCGCCTTGGGGTACACTTGGAAAAAGGCTTTGTCCCCTGGTATCTCATCCAGCACCTCCCCGTTAGCTCCGTCGATAACAGCGTTACTTGTCGTAACCACCACAGTGTAAATCTCATCACAGATACTGCGCAAGCTCACAGCCCGAAACTTTTTCGGCATGCACGAATGCACTCGATAGCTCGCGCGTTTGCCTGACTCCAAACACTCCATTAGTTTGTTTTCCTTTACAAGCGACTGTAGCACTTCAGACGCAACCACATGTCCATTGCTGTCGCTACCGCCGCATTTGCCGTCGCCCAGTCTTCCGAAAACGAATGCATCAATGTAAGCTGTTCCAGAATGTGACGAGTATAGGGCTGACTCACGGGCAGCACACAACATGTGCTGTCCGAGAACGCGGCGATTCAGCGGGTTCAAACTCACAGCTTCTGGATTCAGCTGGAAAAGCTCCTTGGCGTGCTGCTGCTGTGCAAAGTACTGGTCTAGCGGTGAATCGAAGCACACAATGACCGCAACGGCTTGTTTCTGTGCGGATTGCTGCTGTCGGCGACCTGCACGACCAGCTTGTTGCCACAAAGATGCGACGCTCGATGGAAGTCCAAGATGTATCGTGCAGTCCAATTCGCCAACGTCAATACCTAGCTCTAGTGCGTTCGTTGCCACGGTTCCAAGCAAATCTCCGCTAAACAGCCTCTGCTCAATCCGTCGCCGCGATTCCAGTGTATACCCACCACGATAGGAGCTGACTCGACGAACCAAATGCCGAGTCTTGGGGTCGGCTCGTAGAATCGAGTGAACACCCATAAGAACTAGTTCAGTCAGCTTTCGGCTTCGACAAAACAGAAGCGTGGCGATTTCGGCTTCCACCAAACGAGCAAGGATCCGAGAGCCCTGAAAGATCGCGCTTGTACTAGCACGAGCGTTTACTTCCTGGCATTCATTTCTTCTTTCTGCTCTGTTTGTTATACTTACACTATCCGTGCGTTTACGCTTTCGTGTCGTCTGCCCCATCCGCGGCAGCGCATTTCGGGACGTCGCATGTCGTGAAAAGTCGGGTTCACAATACGCATGCTCGTCTTTCCGAGTGTCGTTCGAGTTCTTCATACACGATACCTTCGGATTCCAAATGCAGAACAGTTTCTCCGCAGTCGGCGCTCCGTCTTTTGTGATCACTCTTAACGGTCGGTGACGAAAGAAATGCAGGCTAGGTGGTCCAAGGTCGTGCTCCAAATCCCCTCGAGTTGTGTCATTGACTGATGTGGATACCGATTCACCAAGCTGGGGCGGAAGCCGCGGCATTAGTTGTCGAAAATGTGTCTCTGGGTTCTGTATAGTAGCTGAGCAGCAAACCACCTGCGGGTTTGAGCCATATAGCGCACATAAGCGGAACAGTCGACGGAATACACAAGCAACGTGCGATCCAAACACACCGCGGTACATGTGCGCTTCATCGACAACCAACAATCTACATCACAACATTGCAGGCGTCTCATGGTATTAGTAATCCATACGACTGCCACAAGTCTCGCCGTTGCATTCCTCACCTGAGATTCGAAAACACCCGCTTCCAGTGCCGATGCTGCGGAAGAATTGTCACGTGGAGCATGTCTACATTGGTCAAGAATATCCGCGTCTCCCGAATTACCATCGATCGACTTTTCATGGGCGTGTCACCGTCCTGTACGGCAGCAGCATCAACGAGATCCTCAGCAACGACTACACTACCGCATGCTTAGTCAACCGATCGCATGATCATACAAACGTCGCGCCAAGATGGAGCGGTAGTTCGGCAGCTTCTAATAATCGTCGTAACGACTTGAGCTGATCTTGCGCCAACGCTTTCGTCGGGAAAAGGTACACGAACGTCGCTTTTGCGTCTTCGAGCAGCATTTCCAACATTGACATGTTGTACGCAAGCGACTTCCCACTCGCTGTCGTTGTAGACAGCACGACATTTTCACTACGACCGATCGCTTCAACGGCTTCAAACTGGTGTGAGTACAGCTGTGTAATGCCGTAGCACTTCTCGAGAGCTCCACATACTCGTGGGGACAGATGCAATGGTCCAAGAGGGCGATACTGAGCTTCGCACGAGTGACGACGCTCGACATGCACGATTTGATTCGCGTACAAGTCCGTTTGCTCCAACACGTTCAGTATCGACGACTGCCACTCATTGTGTCGTTTGTCATCAACGGGCTGGTCCATCGTCTCGAATTGCTGATCTCTGTCCTCGTCGACCTGTAGTACTTGTGCACCCACTTTCGTCTCCGTCACGAGACACTTGTCCCGTTGTTCGTCCCGTTTTTGCAACGCTGCGTCAAACAGACGTTTTCGTTTAGCACTTGCACGTTGGCTCGTCTGTGGGACCAATGGAAATGTCACAACTTCGAGGCCGTTGTCCTGGTCGAAACTCGGACCATACAGATCGGCTGCGCGCATAAACGATACAGAAGTAGCGATGGAAATCAGCATTTTGGTCGCACTTGGCAACACAAAAATAAACAGCTGCGTCACGAAAATAAATAACTTGCAATGTACGTGCGTACCTAGTGCTCGTGACCGAGTCGGGTCACGAGGACCTAAAATAAGGAGGTCCGGCGCATGCGCTGCTAGTTCCACGACGTGCTGTCGCGTGAGATGCGTCGGACTGCCAAAGCTGTTGGCCACACGCAGCACACTCTGCACCGTCGGCGACGTACAGCGTTTCGCCACGAAGCAGAAGCCAGCGTCGACGAGCGCAAAGTTGCGGCGCAGCGTCGCGTCCATGCCCAATTTAGTGGTCGACAGTGCCGCCGGCCGTAAACTACTAAACCGAAGTTACAAAAAGAGCAGCGACGGGGTACCGAGGGGTACGTAAACTACGGTCACTAACGTAACTTACGCTGTCGGACGCTATCATCGACATGGAGCTAAATTGGGAGAACTCCTGTACGTGCGACTGTCGGTCTGTCTGTCGGTGTGCCTCGCAGTCCCTGTGCCCACACTCGTTCACATGTTAACTTGCACACTTTCTCTTCTGCACGCTCTCTATCCCTCCCCCGTTGCTGATGTTGCGCTCGTGACTCGCGATACTAACGACGCTGTGGTCTTATGTATGTAGATTCGGAAGGTTACGGGCTGAACCACGGGTACGGTGTACCCGGTTACATCAGAGGGACGCGCGACGACCGGATCTAATTCTTACACTGTCTGTAGCTACGGCGATGAAGCTACGGCGCTGACGGGCGAGAACAAGCCCCGCATTTTGCTCATGGGACTGCGCAGGTCGATACCTGCTTCTGATTCGACCTGATTCGACGTGCTTTTTTGTTTTGGCGTCACTAATCAGTGGCACTTGTGTACCCATTTGCTTTGTGGTGCATGGCGTCGATTGGATGGGTTGCAGGAGTGGCAAGTCGAGTATCCAGCGCGTGGTGTTCCATAAGATGTCGCCGCACGAGACGCTGTTCCTCGAAGGCACGAACAGTCTCGACATCAAGTACATTGCCAACAACTCGTTCGTGCAGTTTCAGATCTGGGATTTTCCAGGCGACTATGACTTCAAAGGTGCTGCCGGACAAGAAGAACGTTGGGGTCGTGGCTGGAGACGGCAAAGGACTGACGTTGCTACTACTGTTGCTGCTGCTACTGCTTTGGTTCTTGTTGTCTCGCAGAGGACTTGGTCTACGGCGGGCAACTCGTGAACGAGGAGATGATCTTTAGTAACTGCGGCTCCATTGTGTTCGTCATTGACGCCCAGGACGAACCGTATGCCGAGGCGTTGGCGCGGTTGCACGATACGGTCATACGCGTGCACAGGTACAACCCGGACATTCTCTTTGAGGTGTTTATCCATAAGGTGGACGGTGACCTCTTTTTGTCGGATGACCACAAGATCGGTACGAAACGACATGCTCTTGCGATACGCTTTTGATGCAGTGGAGCCGCGTTTTCTGACCTGGAGCTATGTTTGGTGCTACACCGATAGACTGCCAGCGCGAGATCCAGCAGCAGATCATGGACGAAATCAAAGACAAAGAGCTTGATGTCCACATGAGTTTCTTTTTGACTAGTATCTACGACCACTCGATTTTCGAGGCGTTCAGCAAAGTTGTGCAGAAGCTGATTCCGCAGCTCCCGACGCTCGAGAATCTCTTGAACATTCTCATTACGGTAGGTGGAGTGACGTAGCCGTATGTCGTGCTTGCACAGAGTGGTGAGTGAGGTGACTGATGAGTTGCGGCATGTTTGCCTGCGTTTCTACATCCTCTCTGTGCATCAGAGTTGCAACATGGAGAAGTCGTTTCTGTTTGACGTCGTGAGCAAGGTGTACATTGCGACGGATAGTAATCCCGTCGACATGCAGTCGTACGAGCTCTGCAGCGACATGATCGATGTCGTCATCGATGTCTCGTGTATCTACGGGTATGTGATCGCAAAACACGGTCGATGTTCTGCTTCCGTTGTTCATGCCTTTTGTGATGTGCTTGTACAACAGAATGAAAGATGACGGAGAGGGTGATGGTCTGGCATACGACTCGAAGTCTTCGTCGGTGATCAAACTCAACAATGGGATGGTTCTCTACCTCCGTGAAGTGAACAAGTGAGACGTGTGTGCGTGCAATGTGATTAGTAGCTATCTAATGCCACTGCTTGCTTTTTTTCGGGTGCATTGCTAGCTATCTAGCCCTTGTTTGCCTGCTGCGCGCTGAGAATTTCATGAAGCAGGGAATCATCGACTACAACATTGACTGCTTCAAGTCTGCAATCGGCGACGTGTTCAAGGCACCAAAGGCGATCGAGTAGATTCATTGCCTTTTGACTTGACGAAAACGCTGGGCCAGCGAAGTCGCAAAGTGAGCGTCGGTCAATATAGTTGTTTTATGTGCTACAACATGATCCTCCTTTTCGTCGGTTCTTCTGGTGGCGACTCTGTCTCCAGCACCCCCCCCCGTGGCACTGGTGATGACTGCGAGTAGGATGATTGTTCCTCGACAAAGAAACAACCGCGTGCTTCCATGGTGTGCATTCTGATGCTTGATTGCATTTTGTGGACTTGTGCGCTGCCCTGCTCGACATGATTGGCAGCAGAACAATCTTGACCGTCAACTAGGTCAACTAGTTCGTCTTGCTGCTCTACAAGCAATGCCGAGTCTAGAAACATGTGGTACAGCGCCGCCACAGTGCTCTGCTTGAGTATATGTCTCGGCATTTGTCGTGACAGTAAACAGGTACGCCAGCAATGGACTCAGCACCGCCACCTCAGCACATCGCGTTTTCACACATCATTCTTAGCTCTCTACGGTGCATAGCAACATAAACTTCGCATACGAACCATCCACTTTCACGTAAAACACCTGCTAGACACCTATATGCACTGCGGCCACATTCATAAGCAGTCAACAAGTTTGCACCAACGCACCCTGCTTTTCGGCATGACATCTTGCAACATATGCTGTATCATCTAGCCCTGGAATCTGCTGCAACGCTAGACAGTCTGAATCCGTATGCATTCGTGAAGATACGTTCAAGTCGTGTAAGACTGTAGAACATAACGTCGCACGTGGCCAATGTCGGCGGTGCATACTTGCGTCTCCTCGACTTTGTGGCAAAAGTCTCCACAAACTCGGACCGGATACTCTCACGCTGCACAGGAGTGGTATGTCATTTACAAAGGACAAAACAATGCAACGGAGTTTGTTTGCGTCGATCATGCAGTTGCACCGCAATGCGTAGTGAGTCTTTGCATAAGTCGGGATAGCAGTCGGTGGTATGGAAAACGCACTCGACATCGACAGCGACTTCGTCGACACGCAAAGTGGTACCTTTGACTTTTGCCAGACGATGTCGCATACTATTGCTGTGTTTCCCGCGATCTCGTGGTGGCATGCACACTATCAAGTGTAGCGTCTTCCTTCAACGTGGTGACTGCAGCAGTTGCTTGTGCTCGGTCAACTAGTCGGCATTTGCCATCAATGAAGCCGTCAAAATACTCGATCTGAGAACATATGTGTTGGACGTCTTGACACCATGTTTTGTGTCGTGGAGGTTCGGATACCCAGCATCACGAGTGTCACTCGAGGGCTTTGTGTTGACGTGCATAGTATTCTGACGAAAGCCGAGAGTATGCATTGACGCCGACAAAGGGGATTGCTAGGAAACCACTCTGACCTCTTCGAGAGGACAAGTTGACCTGACAAGACACGCCTCTTGACTTGGAACATTCGACTCGAGGAGCCCAGCGAGAGACTGACCGTCGCAAGGCTTTTATAGGAAAGATCCTGTTCTCATTGAAAGCTACCACGTTCACGTTGATGTGGGGGAACTATGCTCTCAGCGCCGCTTGCTATTCAGTTGTGATTTCTTCTCGGACGTTCGCGCAAGTCCCTTGTTGATGGCAACAGAGAGGGGAGTGATGCAGCAACTAAGCGCGGCACATGACTCGTGACGCACATAGAAGCCACTACGAATGCTACTGTACGGCAAGGTCACGCATGCACACACATACCATCGGTGAGCAAAGTCGTCTTGGAGCGGTAGACGAAAAGAAGCATGTACGAAAATGGTAGCCTGCCCAGAAGACCGCTGGTAACACGACGAGCAAGAGCGGCGCGAAGACCCAAATCATTGCCAAACTTTGGTGACAATGAGACTCGTGTACAGCGCTAGTCGAGCGTACAACAGGAATGCTGGCAAGAACGAGGTATACCTGGACCACGATCATCGGCAAATCGACATCAATGACATCGATGCAGCCAGCTCGAATATGTCGATTACCACCGACTGGAGCCAAGTCAGTGCCGATTGCAACACTGGAAGTAGACATCTTGGTCCAGCTAGCGTCGAATGTATTGCGGACGCAAGAGATCTGCACTGAGCCCGTCAACGAGATCAATAACGGGAGCATAACGTGATGCAGGACGATGCTGGAAGGTAGAGGGTATCTGCATGGGGTTTTCAAGAAGTCTTTGTGGCAGACGGAGACGATAATGATGCACCGGAATCCGTCTGTGATTCAGCCCAAACTTTACGATAGCTCTCTCCGACTGCTCTGCCACAAGCGCGACGCAGCACGTGTGTAATGATCCCATCGTTCGACTCTTTGGGTCGCTTTACGCGCCATAGACATCGTGGTGGACCATCATGTGCATTCCGCAGGACTATTCGGACCTATAATAATCACAGCACATGTTTCCGTAAAAGCAGCTGGAGCCGGTCGCGCTTCTGCTTCAGAACGTCCTGATTTACGGTGTCCACACCACGAACCCTCGCCGACTCGACTTATTCGGCCAGCACGACAGCCAATCAAAACGTCGAACGCCCTCTCTGTCTCCACGCCAGTCACTTTGCAACTGATAACACCACCGCGTTCAGAAGAGCTCCCGACATGGCTACACATCCAGCGCCAGTCGACGACGACGCAACGGCCAATGGCTTCAGCGGCTCCACGTCGTTCGCCGAACTGGGCGTCGATCCGTCCATCTGTGAGGCCATTGCCGCGGTCGGGTGGTCCACGCCCAGCAAGATCCAGCAACAAGCGATTCCGTACGGGCTGAAAGGCCACGACATTATTGGACTGGCCGAAACGGGTTCAGGCAAAACGGGTGCGTTTGTGATCCCGATCTTGCAAAGTCTGTTGCAGAACCCGCAGCGGCTCTACGCACTCGTACTGGCACCGACGCGGGAATTGGCCTACCAGATCGGCGAGCAGTTTGAAGCGCTGGGCGCGTCCATTGGTCTCAAATGTACCTGTGTCGTTGGGGGCATTGACATGATGCAGCAGCAGGTTGCGCTGGCGCGGAAGCCACACGTGGTGATTGCCACGCCCGGACGGCTCGTGGACCACTTGGAAAACACCAAGGGCTTTAGTCTCCGCACGATGCAGTGTCTTGTGCTGGACGAAGCCGATCGGATGCTGAGCATGGACTTTGAAGAAGAGATCAATCAGATTGTCCAGCTCATGCCGAGCGACCGCACGACGTACTTGTTCTCTGCCACGATGACGTCGAAAGTACGGAAGCTGCAGCGCGCGTCGCTGAAAGACCCGATCAAAGTGGAAGTTACCCACAAATTCGCGACGCCCGAGGCGCTGAAACAGCACTACCTCTTTATTCCAGCCAAGTTCAAGGACTGCTACTTGGCGTACGTCTTGAATGAAGTGGCAGGCCAGTCGGTGCTCATTTTTGCCAGCACGTGCAACGGTACGCAGAAAGTGACGCTCATGCTGCGCAACTTGGGCTTCCAAGCTATTTGCCTGCACGGCCAAATGCCGCAGCCCAGTCGTCTCGGCGCTCTGAATCGATTCAAAGCCAAAGCGAGAAATGTGCTCGTGTGCACGGATGTAGCGTCTCGAGGGCTGGACATCCCGAGCGTTGACGTTGTCATTAACTATGATATCCCGACGCATGGCAAGGACTACATTCACCGAGTGGGGCGCACGGCCCGTGCTGGTCGAGCTGGTGTCGCGATTTCCTTCGTCACGCAATACGACGTTGAACTGTACCAGCGGATTGAGCATTTACTTGGCACGAAGCTCGACGCTTATCCGTGCGAAGAAGAGACCGTGTTGGTCATGTCCGAGCGCGTGAATGAGGCGCAACGTATTGCTACGATTGAGATGAAGGATGCAGTTGCAAATGGCACGGGTGCAAAGCGTGGACGGTATGCACGGGACCTCGAAGACGGTGAGGACGGCGAAGGAAGTGATAAACGATACAAATCGACGAGTCGTGTGCAGAAAGGAGGCCGAGGTGCAGGCCGTGGCCGTGGTGGAGGTCGTGGCCGTGGGGGACGCAGTGGCGGTCGAGGTGGTCATAGTAAACGGAGTTAGAGGTTGTAGCTAATATGTCTTGATTTTGCCTCATCCTTCGGCGGTGCAAGTGCGTCGCCCGTGTTCAAGCGTCGGCGTTCTCTGGTGAGCTGAGCCGCAACTGCGACGTGTGATCGTTGGATGGGTGCACCGCCTGCCCTTGATGGCAGTATTAGGTCTGTCTGGAGACGATTCTACTACGTTGCGCTGCTCAGCCCGACACTTCGGTCACGGAGTAGCGCTGAGCTCACAGCTTTTGTCTCCACTCCTGTGACGATCGCATGAGTGTTAAGCGATGTGGCAGGTCAAACAAGCCACAAGTGTACTCCGTCGGCGAAGGGCCAAAGTGCGATTGCATTGTGCTGGAGCGAAGACGTCACATGCACGCACAAGAGTTCGAAGCTTGAGCAACGCCACCGTAGCTGACCAGTCACGAGATTCAGGTGGAAAGCGTCTTGCAACGGGCTCGTTGATGAGTGCATATCTCCGAGCAAGTCTTGATCCAGCACCGTGCGCTATGATGTCAACACCAGTCTTGCACGCTGACTGACAAACTCACAAGCCGCGGTGCTGCTTGCAACGCTGTGGGATGGAGGCGCTAACAAGGAGCTGCCTAGAAGTCGGCCTGCTCGATTGCCACTGTCGTTATTGTTGCACTTTTGCGGCCAGTCGTTTCTAGTGTAGCAAACAGCCAAAACTTGCTCCGTCTCGCCTCCTTGGCTGCTACTGCTTCTCCGCCTTCTCTTGCTGCTTCTGCTGCACAACAACGTGCTGACAGTGATACCTAAAGGCTCTCAGCAAAAGCATTCAGTCCATCTGCACGGCCCGAAACGAGCTGATCGTAGACTGTGCGATACCGAGTGCAAGTCCAAAGCGCTTTTGCTTCGCCACGTCGCTGTTCTTCTGCTGTCGTTTTTTGCTTTCAGTGGCCATCCCCGTGCGATATCCACAGCACTGTCAGACAGACATACAGAGACGGAACATTCGTGACCCATAGTCTGCCTGGCCAAACGCAACCACATCGGCGGACGCGTTGTCTCTTTCTTCTTCCAGTGATGTAAAGGGGTTCTACGATGGCCAAAAGCTGTCAGTTGCGACTCGCACTCGCAAAGCCATTCGTGACATTGATTTTGTCGCGTCGTTTCAGTATCAATTCTGAAAGTCTCTCGACACACCGAACTTTCGCATAGCTCTGAACTCTCCCATAGCTCTGAACGTTTACAACACTCATTGACACATATGAGTGTCTCTATTCTGCTCGCAGCTTCACTTCCTTAAGCGCATGTCCAACGCCCATTATCGATCCGATCTCACGCCGTACTGTCTTTATAAAGTTGGTGGGGTCTTCGACTCGTACATACAAACGTGATGCCAAGAAATCGATCGGTTCGTCCGTCTGTCCTCACTCTGTCCCCTGTCCCCTGTCCACGTGCAGTAAACACGACCCAACGCAGTCAAACCGCCACTTTCTACGCGTGCCAAACGACTGGTTTTGTATCGCCACATTCGTGAGCTTTGTATCGCCTCGAAAGAAAAAAAGCACATAAGGCATTCACTGACGTCAAACGTCTCGAGACGCCAAAAGTCAGTCGTCTCGACGGTCCGTCCGCGCGCATGTTTACGGCATCGCCCTCATCTGAGATCTCACGTGTGTGTGTGTGTGGGTGCACATCAACCACGCGCTGCTGGCTCCGCATCGACCCTCCAGCCAATCAGACCCGACCAACGGCAGAGAAGCCACCAACAAAGACCTCGAGCTCCCCACAACACAACAACAACAACAACCACAGCAACAACACCACCACCACATCCACATACAAACATCCACACACCGCCACCCGCTCTCTCCTCTCACACTCGATACCCTGCCAGTCCCGATCCCTACTCGGCTCTGCATCTCCCTCCCACATCGAATCCTGCCAGACAATCGCCTGCCCGTCCATCAGCACCCGCGACGCCACTCGTCCGCGCGCGCGCTCTCTCTCTCACGCGCTCTCTCTCTCTCTCTGTATGTTCTCGCGCGCGTCCGACGTCCGCGCGCTCAAGCAGCGCGTGCGCCACCGCAGCGTGGGCGACGGCAAGTCCATGTACTTTGGCAAGTACGTCTCGCACGAGGGCTCCGAGAAGCTCCGGACGTACCAGTACCACGGCACCGACAAGTCGCTCGTGTTCCAGCACGTGCTCACGCCCATGAACGACGCGCTGGTCGAGCACCTGCCGCGCTGGCTCGCGCCCAACCTCATTACGCTGCTGGGGCTCCTGCTCGTGGCCGCTTCGCACGCCGTGGTCGCGTACCTCTGCCCGCTGTTGTACGGCGACGTGCCGCCCTGGGCCCTCACGGCCGCTGCGGCCGCGCTCTTTGCCTACCAGACGCTCGACAACTTGGACGGCAAGCAGGCGCGCCGGACGCACTCGTCGTCGCCCCTGGGGCTGCTGTTTGACCACGGCTGCGACGCGCTCAACGTCTCGGTCGGGACCATTACCATGGCCAGTGTGCTGCAGCTCGGGGCGACGTGGAAGACGCTGGGGCTGGTGCTCAGTGGCCACTTTGCCTTTATCTTTGCCACGTGGGAAGAGTACGCGTGTGTGTGTGCGTTGTGCGTGGCAATAGCGGCGGCTCCTCATTGAAAGCTCTTGTACCTCTGTTGCTGTGGTATGCTTGTTGTTTGTGGTGTGTTTGTTGTTTGTGGTGTGTTTGTTGTTTGAGCAGGTACTACTCAGGCTCGCTCGAGCTTCCGGTGATCAATGGCCCGACCGAAGGCATTCTCCTTGGCGTTGCGCTTAAGCTCTTTACGGCACTGGTTGGTGTGGACTTTTGGACGCACGAGCTGGTCAACGGCGTGCAGAACAACTCGCTGCTTGTGTGTTTGACGATCGTCAGCTCGTGCGTGACGCTTCTAGTCAAGTACGTTGTCGCTTTGCTTTGTCTTGGGTGTGCGTGTGCGTGTGTGCTTTTGCTGCTACAGTTTGGTGCTGCATCTTCTCGTGTAGCCAGTACTTACGTCGTGTATCGTCGTCTTCTTCTTGCTGTGGTGTCCGTTACAATGTTAGTGTAAAGAATGTGCTGAAGGCCGTGCGTCTGAACGAAGACTCGATCCTTGTCGCGTTCACGCGACTTCTGCCATTCATCACCCTCAATGCCCTTGCTGGCTTATGGGCTTTGTTCTCTCCCTCGGACATTTTCTCGACTCACCCGCGAACGTTTCTGTGGATGCTCGGTCTGCTGAACAGCAAGTTGGTGGTACGTACACCGACACCTGGCGCAGCTGCAGCCTTTCTCACGCATGGCTAACTGTGTGTGTTTTTTCTGGCAACCAGCTTCACCTTATGTTGGCTCATCTATGCGGGGAAGAGTATCACCCGTTTCGCAAGACGCTGGTGCCCATCTTCTACGTTGCTGGGCATTGCGCGTTTTGCATGATGGAAGGCACCTATGACGCCATCAACGAAGAGCTCATTGTCCGAGAGTTCTTTTTCCTCTCGTTGGCTGCGTACGTGCACATCGTTATCACGGTGGTGTGGGAGGTGAAGAATGTGCTGGGGGTGTCGGTGTTTACGATCCCGTACGACCCGCAGTCCAAGTCGTGTAGCGATCCAGCAGCAAAGTCGTCGTAAGGGGGGCACTGACGCACTTGTGCACTCGTCGGATGTCCACCTTGTCAATAGAACGGACTTTGAAGCGCCGGGAGCAATTCAGCCACGGGTCACCGATATCTACCAGTTTGGCCGGTGTTGAAGTTCACTTTTTCTGGTCAACCTTTTTTATGAGAAAGGTGCTTGAGCGCTGGCGAGAACAATGGCAGAATTCTCCCCCTCTCGTAAACCTTGTTCTTGTTCCCCACGCACGTTGAAATCTGGGAAGAGTGCCGCCCGCGCCCCTGCTTCTCGTGGCCTCTTTGCCTCGTCCAGCATGGAGTGGACGAAACCCCGCTCGCAGCCCCAGTTTGCATATCCGCTGCAACCGCAGCTCTGGTATAACCAGTATGACGACGTCAACGAGGAAGATAAACAAGAGGCAACGCTTGGCGTCGATCGACATGGCTGTATTCACGCGTCGCAGCCACCTCGATCGCCTTTGCCACGAAAGTCGGAACTTCCAAGCACACCTGCGTACAACGGAATGGCGTTTCAGTCGCTGGGCTTGCCGCAAGTGGAAGAAGCGACGGAGTTCCAGCCGCTCTATTTGCTTCAAAGTGGTTCGTTTTTCGACGGGACAACGCTGCCAGCGCTACCTCCTCAGTCACAGCAGGAGGGATCATTATCACTGCCTCAACAGCAGTTCGGTATGCAAGTGCCAGTGCAGTTTGCTTCGCAGTACTCGGAGCTTCCAGTAGAGCCAACGAGTCAGTATTTGCGACCACTTCCGACATTATCGTCATCGACGATGCAAATGCCCTTCAGTTCGACCAGACCACCGGTGGATTATTTTCACGAAGGTAAGGAATGATATCCTGCAGCAGATTTCGGGACAAGAACTTTGTTTCTGACGTAAACGTGTTTTCATGACTTTGCTGTAGGTATCTCAACTCCCCACATCGCGCGTAGCTCAGTGCCGACATTGCCAGCAAATTTTGCGTCTCTGGAGCAACAGCAGCATTTTTTGCCGCCGTCCCTATTGGAGTACCAGGAAGGAGACTTTGACAATGACATTGCGCAAGAGATCTCGTCGAGCATGTTCCATGCGTCAGCGATGTCTGCGGAATTGTCGGAGCGAGAACGACAGAACAGCTGTCCAGCTCGACCGAACCTGAGCGTCAGTGGCACACCTCCTACTTGTCTATCCGCGGTTGCACCGCTAAGCAGGCCTAAGCGAGAGGGTGCGTTGCGAGAACCGTTTACGGCAATGGCAGTGACCGACAAGCCCAAGTTTTCGCCCGACAAACGCAAACTGTGCTGCGTCGAAGGCTGTTTGAGCCAAGCCCGAGCCTTTAACCGATGTAAACGGCACGGTGGATCCAAGCGATGTTCGAGTCCAGGCTGCACCAAGAGCGTGCAGAGTCGCGGACTGTGCATCCGTCACGGCGGTGGCTCACGGTGTCAAGAGAGTGGCTGCACACGTGCATCCCAGAGTCATGGTCGGTGCAAGCTGCACGGCGGTGGCCGTCCGTGCATTGTGGCAGGTTGTGACAAGAAGGCGCATCTCAAGCGTCTTTGTCGCAAACACGGCGGCGGCATCAAGTGCCGTGTGGCAAACTGTGAAAAGTGGTCTCAGCGTCAGGGCATGTGCATGACGCACTCGAAGGTGGCTGGAGGCCCGCAACCGAGTGGCATTGGAACGATCGGCGAGCTGGATCATTTTGGCCAGAACGCGCTATCGTTGCCGGCGTGTTCAGCCTCCTCTTCGCCGTTGTCGCTTTCTACGTTTTCGGATGCTGCATAAGCTCGAGCACAACCAGGTATAGCAACGTGAAAATATCAACGAAGGTTCAAACGTTATGGAGCAACCTCAGCAACTCGAGAGCTCAACTGTAATTTGGCGAGTTCATATCCCCTCGTACACTGTAAACGCCTGCACTAAACAGAAAACAACAACGAATGACTGCCGGCACCACGCCGTGTGCTTGCCTAATCGGTTCCTGACAAACACTTCAGGTTTTGCTATACGTCCCATTGCTGGGGGGTACAACGTATCACAAAAGCTACGCCGGTGTCGGCGAATAGTCGGCAGCAATAGTCAGTTCCAAACATAATCGCCGTGCTTGTGCGTTCGCTTGAAGTAAAAATCGTAGTAACCAGTATGAGAAGTCTTGCCCGGGAACACTTTGATATCGTCAGGCTTCTTGCCCGAGTAAATCCACTTGTAGTACGTCGCAAGTTTCACGACCTTGTCAATGGCCCTCGTGACCCAGGAACGAATGAACCCAAATCTCTCCTCGCTGGCCCCGTCGACCGCATCTTCTTCTTCTTCTTCTTCTTCTCTCAGTGCCGACTTTGTCGGATCGCTCTTCGCTTCGGTGGCAAGTGCTCGAGTCCGATCCGACGAGTCGAGCGACGTGGAATTGGTAGTCTCATGCCGGCGGACGGTCAACGCCGCAGTAGTGACGTCAGCGACCAGAAAGAGGACTGCAGCCAGCAAAACATCGAAACAAAGACGTCGCATGGACTTCTTTCGTAGTTGAGCGCCAAACTCCAAATGCTCAATAGAGACACTGGCGGATGTGCCCCTCTGTGCACTCCGTCTCGTTAGGTAGCGCCTTTTCGAACGTAACGCGTTGACGCATCACGTGCGACGTTTCGACTCGTCGGTGAGCGCTTTGGAGTGTCCGTACGTATGCTCAACCTCAGTGATCAGAGGAACAAGACCAGACACTTGCCACCTTCGTCCTTGAATGAGTGGTAACAAGACATGTGCATGGCCTGATCTGGTTGGATTGTACGTGGCACGACGTTGGTGCTTCCTGGATTTCGACACGGGCAAACGGTGACATGGCGAGACTGTTTGCTGGCAGCTTGATGAGGTCAGGTGAAACTGGTCCGTCCGCTGTCGCCTATCACCCCACCATCTTCACGGCACTGTCCACCGGGGCAGATACGCTGTGGCCGTCCAGCGTATGCGCTACACACGTCTGCCTCCCGGCTATGTGCTTTCGACAGCTCTCTTGAACTCTCCTGTCTACTACAACAGGCGCGTATATGGATCATAGCCGCACGTTCACCCCTACTAACTGCTTATTCTTTCGGCTTTCCACTCACCACGTCCGCCACGCGATGGTCGATCGCCCGGACTTCCTTCTCACAGACGCATTCTCGCAACAGCCGAGCATGCAGGAGGTTTGTGTCCATGCAGTCGGTCCGCGTGGTGCTGCAGACCGAACCGTAGACAATCGTCTCATCGTCATTCGACGTGTTCGGATTGCAGTTGTGTGATGCACGACATTGACATGAGCCTTTGGCTCGCTGCAGCAATGGTGACGACTCGTAGATCCGATCATGCGCTGCAGCCTCGAACTCACCCCAAAATGGGCCTTACAGTTTAGTGTACAGAGCAATGTGTCATCAGGAAACGCTTATGCAGTCGACGCTGTCTTCTACCACTAAGGTCTCCGCTGTAGCAACGGTTGAGGTACACCTCATCACGTTCTTCTGCCGTACAAACAACATGCTTGCTGTAGTGGATGTGAGCTAAGGATGGATCGATAGTCGAGATGGTCGCCAGCTGAGTAAACGCTTTACCGTATTCCAGCTCTTGCGCGCACGCTATAACGAAGCAAAGCCGCCACCTTCGGCTACGAGATGTTACTCGTCGCAACAGCTAAGACCAAAAGTGTCCAGACCGGTGCCGCTTGTTTTGATCTTGAGAATGCGAGAATGGAATGGGCGGGCGACAAGCAAAGCAAGAGCTGTGTATGTTTGTGGCTATAGCTCGATGAGCCCGTGTTCGAACCGTGTTGACAATATATGCTCACACGAAAGCTGCAATCATGTGTGCATGCCGCGAATGTCGATCAAGGAGCCCATGAGGTGTCTTTGCGCTATCCCTGATCAGCTTGGGACGGCAAAGCATATAATGTTTCAACGCATGTGCGAAGGGAAAGAAACGGTCGCGGTTAGTCACGATCGAGAAGGTTGGCACCCGGTCATGTACAAGCCATATTTTGTGGACACTCCAAGAAGCCGATCGAACGCTGTGCCGGGGTGAGCCCTTAGCGTGACACGGCGTTAGAGCGAATGTCAATCTGGACAGCTGTCATCGAAGCGAACAATAGTAGGCGATACTATCGTGCAGGGTAACGTAGCAAGAAGATCACCGTTAGAGGTCACAATCGGCAGCAACACGCTGCGCATAAGCTGACATAGGCCATTACATCAGTTACGAATGTCAACAACCCACGACAGACGCTCGGCACGAGCAATGTATAGGCAGTCGACAAACACATTTGTCTCGAGATGCCAATCAGAGTAATTTGCAAACCAATGATAGTAAAGACTTACTCATACAAGATACTTTCCCCTTCTTCCGTACTAGTGAGCGTTCTTGTACTTGTCTCACGTTTTCTCCATACGAGTGTAAGTGAAGTTTGAGACACCTGTCTGCATTAGCCAGCTTAGGTGCTTACACTAATGGCACTGTAAGCGCGAGGTTCCCCATTACATCCAGAAGCACTTCGTCGTTCGTCTAACTTTCCACAACCCATCATCCTGGACTGGGTGGGTAAGAAAGAGCTTGCTTTAGTTAACCGTGAAGGCTAGCCCCAATGAGTTGGTGATGTCCGATTAAAAGCAGTCGAGCAAATGAGTTCGACCTCTTGTGGTGTAGCCGCCATTGCCGTGTTGTTCGCTCGATAGGGGCACTAGTAAATACCACAATTGCTAAGCACCCTCAGCATGGACTTGATGCGGCTCTAAAACAGTCACCTTGCTTCACCAGCACTGTTTTGATGCTAAGAGATGAGGTTGTACAAAGATCGGTGTTTTTTTCTTTCTGTAGGTCCAGCCGGAACATATAGTTCTCCTAACGACGTGGTATGATCTCTTCGGGGCGGGGCTACACGTCCCTTCCCGGTCGTTGTTATCGTCCCACGGGACGGGCGGTGCTTACCGGCTGCTCTGGTTGCCTGCCAGACCGGATAGCCCAACTATTAGCAGTTGGGTGTTTTATGCTTCTCTGAGAGGCCTTACTAGCTGGTACCGAGGTTTCCGAGGTGGTAACAGTGCATCTTGTGCTTCGCACACATTTTCATAAGGACCTTGGGTTGGTCTATCACGGAATCGAGACCGCACCAACTTACGTGGCACGAGCGGTGATATCCAAGGCACCGGAGAGAACCCCGAAACAAAGATCGATGTTGAGATAACAGGAAGCAGCAGGTAATGTGGATCGATGCATATGCGCTATCCCCAGGACATAAGCGACATTCATCTGTTACTATAAGACAGCAGCAAATTAACTTCTTGTAACGATTACTCGTCGACCTGACGATGCGATCGGAGCTTGTTGCATGATGATAAGCGATGCGGTGAAGGCGTATATTGGCATGTCGAAGCTGACCGGACAAGCCATAACTTGAGCATTGGGAACCAAGCGTCACGGTTCACATGTTTTTGAGTCGTATGAGAGCATCAAGGCGCGGATCAGACAAGCGAACAGCTACTATGTTTAAACATTTCACATTTCGAGCCCTAACTTCGGTATCCTGCTATAAATCAAATCTAGGGCTCTATGTAGAATATTTAAGTCAATCAGAGTAGGCGCAGTTGTCTCGACAACGCCAAGTACACATAATGTTTTGTGAGCTCTATCGTGTGCGAGGTCATTGATGGGAAGACACATACTAGATTGTTTATACAACATCTTGCGGCCGGTCCCTGCACGACCCATCATATAAGCCTGCAGCTAAATCCGCTTGTAAACGATACAATTGTGATGTAACGGGGAGATATTATCCAGAGACGGGCTCGCGTCAATATGGTTGCCTCGTGGTCTCCCAGGCGACATAAAGCGAAGGGCCAGGAAAACCATGTAGCTCTCGATATGTTAAGACTGAAGCTTATGATATACAGATTAAATGCAATTGCAAAACTGCAAATTCAGAGGAAAATGTTGCCGATGGGCTTTCATACAATAAGCTGTCGGGAGGAATTTCGAAACACCTAACAGCCGGCTGTGCGTAGAAAAGGACCAGATGTGCGGCTCCCGCTTCGTTGCTACGTAGCAACTGCTAAAGATTAATCGGAGTGAGAAATTAACGAAGCGTCCGTATGGTCGAGTAAAATATCTACAGTTAAGGCTCTTGCCAAATGTTGCTTCTAACACTCAACACATTTTTTCGATGCCCTTATGGATAAGCGTCTAACCTCATCAACTCAGCAGTGCTGCAATACCTATATCGCTAAGCCAAATGTGTATTGAATGAATACAACGATTGTATATTGTTCGATCTCCGTCAAGGAGAACAACATAGCTCCGAAGGCTTTTGCGCTGACAAATGTATAATGTCGAAACAATCCCTGCGATCTCTCCGGTAGTGCCTTTCGAATAAGTAGCACATGACGCTATGGTAAATGCACGATGTGACCCAGGACGCGGAGGGAGACGAACGTGACAACGTCTATGTGAGTCATTCGATACATAAAGAAGTAAGGATGCAATACGGCAACGTCTGATGACCGATACATAAGTACAACGTCGATGTGGGCAGCACCTATTTAGGTAATTTTATAATCAGCCATGTGCAGTCACCCAACATACCGACCCATGTTGTCGAGTGAAAAGCACTGGCACTGGGACCAGGAGGTGCGTGGATCTACTGTACCCGCGTGGGGCGGTACCATCACACATCGCCGGAGAGTGGCGATCAAAGCCGGATACAGTGCGTCGTTCGCGTAGCTGAACATACCTCAAATCTTCTCTTTCTTACCTAACATGGTTAAGTCAGTAATATGTGGAGATATCTTCGATGATTGATATCCATATCGACCACGGTGCATGTCTACTTTTCACTACTGAGAACGACCACGCAGAAAAAAGAAGGCAGACATTTGAGGTGCATGTTTTGGCATACAGACGTAGTTTACAAAAGTTTATTTGATGATTTGTACCGATGCATTTGACAATACCAAATCGTGAATCCTGCTTCTTTTCGTCCAACTTGGTTGTTTTGCTGAACGCTCCCTGCTCGTTGCGTACGTGATGTATAAGGTGCACTAAGCTCACTCTGTCATGACTGTTGATCTCTTGCACTGTAGTCAGTGTAGATGCAACGTTCTCAGATACAATTATGCTATAACGGAGCCCAAGCAAGTCGAGTTAACGTCAACGAGAGAGCACGTCTTTCTTTTTTTCTCGGGTTCGACGCTCTGTTCGCGATAGACTCGAACGAAGGAAGTCTGCGTCAAGTATTGATGTATCAGAAAGAGCAGATACGGTTGGAAGTGTTATATTTCGAGAGCTAGCGACGCGAGTATTATAAAATACGTGGTTAATTCTTTGTCACTACTACGTCCTGCTTTGCTGAGTCTTTCTCGGAATTTTTTTCCTGCAAATTTTTTTGACACTAGGCTTAATGCCTCAGCTTCCGTGTGTCACATTTACTGCCTTGAACCCCTCGATTTCAACTGCTTTGAACCTTTCGATGTCAATTGCCGTAAACTTCATCGACGTGCACTCGTCGCAGTCACTAGTTGGTGCTGCAGCGTAACATAAAGTGCCGCAGGAGAGGAGCGACGGCAGACGCTGAAAAACCTTAGTTACCTCTCTTGACGGTGTGGTGCATATGATGACGAAGATCTGACGTAAGCTTAGTCAGCCCAAGTTGCATCCTCGAGCAATGTCAGGTCGGACGTAGAAATGGACGTCGTCACTAAAAACGCATCGAGACAATACATACTTTTGCTGCGCTCGTCAATAGAGCCGACCACAATACAAACGCAGAGCGTCTGGGAACGAAACCCGGACGTCACGTCCGAATCTGCAATCAGGACGAGTAGTCATTACAGTGAGACGACAAAAAGCTCTTCTTCTTCTTCTTTTTGTACATATGTTTCTACCGAAGAGACAAAAAGCACAGCTGGATGCAAGTTGTGCTTCTTCTCCGCGGACCTCAATCGTCCGATTCGCTGCTTTTACCCGCATTTCGCCGCCTAAAACCCGTTTCAGCAGCTGATAAAAGCACGAATCGCCACCGCCAGATCCGATACACCACCACGTCCGACGATGGCGCCATCGCCGAGACGACCGTCGGCTGCCGCGCGCAACGCGTCGCCTGTAGCACAGACACCCGAGTGCACCACACGCACACTCGCGTTCGACTCGTTGGCGTCCAGCGCCGCAGCGCCAGCGACGAAGCGGCGGCGGCGGGTGGCGCCAAGCAGCGTGATTGGTCCCGAGTCGATCGCATTATTGACCAATGAGCGAGCGGATAGCGACCACAGTACCATTCCACGGGCGGACGAGCAGGACGATGGGCAGCGGAGGACGCTGTGTGAAGCGCCTGTGGCGCAGAGAAGGGGCGAAAAAGGGCTGCGGCCGCTTGGACTGTTGAGCGGCATCGAAAGACGAGAGCGACGTGAGGTGTTTGACGCACGAGACGCAGCGGTGGGCACGAGACGGACGGAACTAAAAGAGACACTGAGACGGCGCGTCCGAAAGTGCATTGAGCAGCACCACGTTGCGGCTGCGCTGTTTTACGCGGACAAACTCGTGACTGTACGAGACAGTGACGTTGACAGTGGAGCTGGAGCTGCTGCTGGAGCTGTTGTTGGTGCTGGAGCTGGAGCTGGTGTCGACGAGCACGATGTGCTGCTGTTTGCGGACGCGTGCTACTGGAACCACGAGTTCCATCGCGCGATTCATGCAGTAAAGAGAGCTGGATTGGTGGACGTGGACGGCAGCAAACTGACGAGGAGCAAGCTGTCTCGTCATGTGACGCTGCGTGCAGCGTGGTTGCTGGGCAAGTGTATGGTAGGGCTACGATGCTGCGGTGTCGAAATTTGGCGTTGACGTTTCGAGGTTCTGTGAGCTCGAGGCTGACTGGTGGTGGTTGTGGGTTTCTAGCTGGCGATCAAGCAAAAAGACGAGTGCTTGGAGTTCTTGAAAGCAGTGCTGCCGGACCAAGAGCAGGATGTTGTGCGGCTGGCCACGAACATGCAGCCGGTCGGTACTGCAGTGAGCGAAGCACAGGGAATGAACGTGGTAGCATCGCTGGCTCTCTTGATGGGCGAGACGTTCGAGGCCATTGGCAACCGCGAGAACGCGACGACTTACTTTCGTATCGCGCTGCGATGCGACGTGCACTGCTCGGAGGCGTTTTTCCATTTATTTGACAAACACATGCTTTCACCCCAAGAGGAGAAAGAGCTTGTTGCATCGCTAGACTTTTCGCAAGATGAGACGCAGTTGCTGGAGCGTCTGTATAAGACGCACGTTGGAAAGGTGATTCTTGTATATCGATACTATGCTGCAGTCCAAGTTTCTCACGCGGTCTTTTATGTGACTCGGTAGTACGATTTAGGACAGTCTATTGACGACAAATTCGCCGGGGTGGAGCAACGTTTTGGGCTTGTGGAGAATGCACACCTCGTACGTGGTCATCGATTTCAGTTGGTGCAAGCGACTTGGCTGAACCCAATATGTCTTCTCTGATGTGAACACAGAATGTCACACGAGCAGAGACGTGTTATTACCAGCATGACCTACAGCGGGCGTATGCCATATGTAAAAGGTACATGCGTTTGGTCTGGTGCTAATCCGTTGTCATTCATTTAGCGGGTAGAAAGAAGCTCACAGCTTGTACACGAATACGTTAGTGTGCGTGATCGAGATCCATTCAATTTCCGCGTGATTTCCGTGTACGTGTGTACGCTGGTGGAGCTTGGCAAGAAGCGCGAGCTCTTCCAGTACGCACACCAAATGGTTCGCTAGCGTTTGTGTTGCTGAGTTGTGTGCTCGTCTCGTGACAATCATGTAACACTAAGTGTGCATCTTCTTTGACCTCTAGGTGGACGTATACCCCACCAAAGCATCGGCTTGGTATACAGTGGGCTGCTACTACCTTTTGCTGCAGAAATTTGAGGCTGCACAGCGCTATTTTCAGTACGTGACAAAGTTTGCTCGGTGACATCGAAGCATACGTCGTAAACGTTCGTCATGTGTTTTGCAGCAAGGCAACATCGTTAGAGCCAAGCTTTGCGCCCGCATGGATTGCATTTGGAAACTCGTTTGCCGCTCAGGATGAAAGTGACCAGGCAATGTCGTCGTACCGAACTGCTTCAGGTCTCTTTCCAGGATCACACCTGCCGACTCTGTACATTGGAATGGAGTTTCTTCGTACGAATAATTTGGCCCAAGCCCAAGAATTTATCCGGCAAGCAGGAGTCCTGTGCCCGTCCGACCCGTTGGTTTACAACGAACTGGGCAGTGTCTACTACAAGCAAAAAGAGTTCTCCAAAGCAATCGAGATGTTTACAAAAGCTCTGCAGCTGTGCAAGGGTCTTCCTGAGGTAAGCATCGATGTCATGGCTCTTGACGTCCGCTGAAAATCTTACATACGACTGTTTGTTTGCTTAAGCGACTGATGGAAGTGTGGGAACCAACGCTGTACAACCTTGGATACTCATACCGCAAACTTCGGTACGCGCGGTAGTGATGCAGTAACGGTTTGGAATTTGTTCGACGGCTTGTCTGATGCTTTTACGTCGCCAGAAAATTTGACAAGGCCATTTACTATTTCCAAAGTGCACTCCGACTAGCACCTCGGAATGTACGTTACATCAAGACCACAAGGAGCATCGATGCAAGACTTTTGGGTTGACCCGCGTCGTTTCGTGTTGTGCAATAGGCGTCGACACTAGCTTCACTCGGTTTCACCTACCATATGAAGGGAGACCTGCATCAAGCGATTGAATTCTACCATCAGGTAAAGCCAGATGACGCTCCTTGATGTAACTTCGATCTTTCACGCTGTGCTGTTTCTGCAATTTAGGCCCTCGCATACGCCCCCGAAGATACCCTCGCGGGCTCCATGATAACTATCGCGTTTGAAGAATCGCTATCTGCCGGACTCAGCTCGCTCCCTGAATTCGCAGACCCACCACCGAGAAATGGTCCCAAGACGAGTGGTCTCACCCCTCTTACTGCCCGTCGAGCAGCGAAAGTCGATACCAGCGCGGGAACGTTCCGACGTCTGGATCGATCTAACACCAGTATCGAATGCAGTATGAGCTCGAGCCTGGACTTCTCAGAGGACAACTCTGCGTTGAGTATGGACGAAGATGACATTACATAGGAATTAATTTGAGATGACGCACGTTTCAGTCCAAGAAGTAGTCGCATGTCCTGCTATACGAACACAGTTTGCATCGTGCACTTTGACAGTGGCCAAGAGCACTTGTGAACGTAAAGGACAGCTACGTAATTGTCAGATGTCGGAGACCACCTGATTGTAACGAGATGGACTATGAATGGTGCATTGCAATGTTTGTAGATAGCATATGACTGCCAAGTCCGTTGGGATCGACGAAAAGCGCCGATGTCAATCAAGTGCAACGAGTCGAATAGAGTAGACGTCGAAGTAACCCTCTGTGCTTGCAGCACTGAGCCAGTTGCACAGTCGGGGAAGTAGAGGATGAGATGCAAGCGGCTATGCGACGCAAAAGTCGAGCGAGTAAATAACAAACTGCGTGTCAGAAGTTACACAGCTATTGTCAGGTCGCACTGACGAGCACGGACACAGTACTCGCTCGTCAGAGCTCTACGCTTCGGAGATTGCACTGCATACACATTCTGTTGCAAGCGAAATCAAGTGTCACATCGTTACGCATCCACTTTGTGTTCCCATACGAGCAACAAGCGCTCCCCATTCGATCGCGTACCGCTTGCACTATTCCACTCTTGACGTTTGAGCGGCACATTACAAGCACGTCTGTCAAATCGTCAAGCACACGGCACACACGCAGTAAAGCTGCTCAGTAGTGAGGCCCGACATGGTCAGTGTCTCCACATCACTTGCTTCGATCCACACGATGTCATCATCAATAGCGTCCTCGTGATATGGCCGACTGTCCGTGGATGCTCATGAGGTGTTGGCGATGGCGATCATCAGCTCGTACTCCAAACGTGTATACGTAACTTGCAGTGCATCGGTACTCCTCGATACGGTAACAGTCCTCTGGACGAATTTCAAAAACCGCTCTCGATCGCTATGCAATCGACGCAAGTCGAGCTTTTCTTTGCAAGAAGAATTGCTCAGTCTTTCGCTTTCCGTCTAGTTGACGCACGCATCAGACGTGATCATTCATATGACCTCGAACACGATACAGAGGTGGTCATTGACAGCTGCTGCTTCTCATGAAGGTCGGCCCACCAGCAACAGCACAAACAACTGCTCTGCGAGTAGCGGTATGCTTAGCACAAAATCGATCAGATACTTTGGCCGCCTCTCTGTTGCTCGTGTCCCATTTCCTGAATCCATACACGCGCACGTGCGGCACAAAGCGGTGGCAGTAGTGCACGTCGCGCGCGGTCACGTTCCAAACAAAGCACCCGCTGCTTAGTATGGACGCGAAGCCTTGCGGGCTTTCCGGATACCTGTAGGGTCAACGTCCGTCGCCTTCTTGTTCAAAGCGCTCAATGACGCGTTGCGAGAATAGCTCGTCCGAGCGCCCGCCGTGTCGGGCACCGTCCACTGACAAAGCCGCGTGTCCTCACCTCCTGTGTACAGCGTCGCGCTCTCTTTGTCGTAGTACAAGCAGCGGACGCACGCTTTATGGCCGCCCTTGACCGCCGCTGCGTGCTGCAGTTGTCCCTTCGAGGCAGCCTGTACCCCAACGCCAATAGCGTTCATGTCGCCATCGTGGGTCCCGCCGAGCACAAAGAGCTCGTCGGCGCTGCTGTCGTACACGCAGTCAATGAAGTAGTCCGTTGCGACGCCAATGCCGTTGCAGTCGTCTCGGATCGTGTCGTAGTGATGCAGCCTCTCTGCTGTCCAGATGTTCCACAGGTCCAGCGTCTCAGTGCCCGTGAGGCAGTAGACGTTCTCGAGCGCGGGGCCAAAGAACCCCAACGTCGTCACAGCGCTCTCGACGTTCAAGACGCTCTCGAGCGCCTCGTCTTCGTCTGCAATGCGGCTGTCAAACAGACACACGACGCCATCTTCCGAAGCAGTGGCGACAAACGCCGGCTGCGTCGGGTGGAACCGCACTTGTGTGACGGCGTCGACATGGCTCTCGCTGTACGCACAGAGTGTCGCGCCCGTGCGCACGTCGTACAGCAGCGCCCCCTCGTCAGTCCCGACGGCCAACAGCGTCTCCTCCCACCCAATGGACAGACTCCAGACCTCGTGACCCACTGGCACTGTCCGGGCCGCCAGCGCCATGCGCGTGTCCCAGAGCTTCACGCACTGGTCGCTCGAGCCCGTCGCCACTTGGTGCGGCGATACCTGCGACGTCCACACCTCGCGGATCGTACTCTTGTGGGCGATAAACTCGTGGCACAGCGCCAGTGTCTCGAGGCTGCGGAGCTGCAGCGTGTGGGTGGACAGCGCAATGGCGAGGCCGCTACGGGCCGCCAGCGGCTGGCAGTCCAACACGTAGTCGTACTCGACGGCGTCGCTCGACGGGGCGGCAAAGGACGCGACAGCGGTCTGCGCGAGCGTAAAGCCGCCGTGAGCTATTGCCGCGCGCATGGAGACGCTTTGGGTGGTGGAAGGCGGTCACGGACGCGTTACGTGACGAATGGACGGCCGAAAATGGATCGGCTCAAGTGACTGACTGATTGACGAACTGATTGACGAACTGATTGACTGGTCGACAGATTGACTGGCTGTGGTGCGTTTGGGCTTTTTATGTACGACAAGAGACGGGCGGGGGGTCGTTTGGTAGACGTAAAGTATACGTCTTTGATGGACAACGTGACGACGACGCGCGACAGAAGGGGCGGATTGGTTGTCGCAAAAGCGCAGGTTGTTAATGGAACGTACGTACCGCTTGTATGGCTTATGCAGAGGTTGTAAAGAACGCTGCAAGCTGTAACACGAAGAAAGAGACGTATTGAGTGAACCGCTCACAGTTGCGAAAGGGGTCTAATGAGATATGTTGAGGATGGACGGCAAGATAAGGATCAACACCAATATTATTCCCACCATCAACATCTTCTTCGTGGCGACCCATATCCCCTCAGCATTATGTCTTTTGTTAGCCTGCAGTTCACGCTGAACGTCCGCTGGCATCCGCGTGACACCTGCAATAGCGCCACCATCATTTCCTCAGCTCTTCACTATCTCGTCTTCACTTGATGTTGTTTGTCCGTGTATATTCTCATGCTGCCTTGGGTCATACGTTAATCATCTTCGGGCATATGTTGCACTTCTGGTTCAGCATTGTGTGATAATTATTCGAGCACGGCGATGTCTCGTCTCCTGACATAAAACAATACCGTAAAGGGGATAGCTTCACATAGTACAAAGTCGAACTATAGGATCGGGTGAAGGAGTCAAAAGCAACGTGACGTTATTTATCGGGCGGTAAACAAACCATCAGATACCGCTTGATGCGTCAGTCACATCTTACAGTACATATCCCCAATCTAGTATGCTGCAGCCTCTGCAACAAGGTCGATTGCCGTCTCTTGCGGAAGTCATCTGCCTCCGTTGCTCGTAAGTGATTTCAAGTTCATGCATCTAAAGGCATCCAATCGAAAGGCATACAGCGCGTGTGATACCTCTTTCTACAATGGCTCCAACACAGAAAGACCTGTGTTCATGACGGACGCAAGAAGATATACTACAGCTTCTTGCGTCCTCAACAGTGAAGAATTGATTCGTGCTGCTGCAGTAATGTACCTGGAGCATGCCTGTACATGTTCGCTTGTACCCATTTGATGAAAAGTGCCGTGCTGCGATGCACAAACTTATAGTAAAAACATTTCCCCAACTCGACTTGTGACGCAGTCATGCCGCTTCAGGGTAAATGACGAAATCCGAACACGAACTATTGATTAGTTGGCTATGGCAGAAATCTACGAGGATCCTGAGGATGTTTTAGCCGCCATCGCGACTCAGTAAATGTGTTCGTAGCGTCTATTCTGATTCGACTTTGCAGCTCAACGCACATGACATATCTTTAAGGTACAACTACCTATGAAAGAGGTCACAATTAGAGCTGTTTAGAACAAACTTACCAAGCAAGAAGCACCCTGTGACGACGTTGCATTCTTGTGCTATCATGTTACGTGCTTAACCGACAGAAGTCGGTAACAATGATGTACCAAGGGCACACACCCATCTGTGCGGCCTCTAGCTAAGTTGTGTCAACATTGCTAGCGATGATTGCTTGACGCAGGGCGAAAGGGGTCTCGCAAAAGGTAGAGCTGCTGTACTTGATCAACTTGTGCCCTCAGTGAGACTACGGTGTGCACGTGGATCCATCCTCCGATCTGACTTTCGATGCGATAGAAATGGCGATGCGATAGAAATCAAATATGTAATGGATACCTTCACTAGCACTTCCAGTTAGCCCACGCCGACGCTTTCGATCGACTGTTTCTAATATGTTTGTCTCAACGAAGTCGACGCTTGTTAGCATACGCAGAGGAAGACAGAGCAAAGAAAAACGCATGGGGTCAGAGCGTCCTCTGGGTCTGGCACGTTGAAAAAGGGTCGCGTGTTACACGCACGGAGAGAAGTCTTTCATATCAACAGCCTGTATGCTCCAGCTCTACTTTCACTCATGAATTCACGTCCAACATTATTCGATCGTTCTCTATCCAGTACGGACAAACAAGCAAACAATGAAGCACAACGTCAATGGAAATACACCAGCACATGAACAGGGTTGCTTATGGGCCTTCAGCTTCGCGAATGGGCCTGCTACGTCCACACGCATCATATCGAATTTGGAGGCCTTCGATTGATCGACGCTGCTTCTGTCACTCCTGGTACCGACCACCCGGATCTATGCCGTAGCTGTTGCATATCTGTCAGCTGCCGGACGGCTTGATCCAACGAGTCCTGGCATCAAGTGGTTGCAAGAGAACCGATACAACAAAGGCGTGCCAGTGGCCACGAGCCAAAGTTGATGAACCAAGGACCCCCTGATCAGGCGCGCTGCTAGACGTGTTGTGGGCACGACCCGTGCTACTGCTTCCTGCCCTGCTTGACGAGAGGTCTTTGACCAATGACCCTGTCTGTCGCAGTTTCGTATCGACAACGCCGTTGGGGGTCAATGCCCGTTCTCGGTACCCAAACAGCGCGTAGTAGAACCATTACGGTCCGTGCGTGAGCGTCCTTTCCAGCACAATCACATACAACAGCCTCTCGATCTCGAGACCACAGTCGTGCAGCGTCTTTTGCCGATGCCTCTCTGCGTCAGCACATTCCTTACAAATGGCCCACAGCGACCGCATTGAGAGCATTGTATCTGACATCATCATGTTCCCCATAATCCATTCCATCTGTCGGTAGCGCAGGTCGAACCAGTCGCGACTGCTCAACAAAGTCCCTCGTCAACCGCTGTCGTCGTCAGGCGAATGTATCCGCAGCAGCTCTTCACCCGCAGCCAACCAAGAAATTTCTATCCCTCTTACCGCCACCCCACATCCTCAATCCTCAAACCCAAAACCGCAATCCCAAATCCCAAATCCCAAAACTAAAATGACCGCTCGCCTCCTCCGTCACGCACTGTCGCCACTGTCGCCACATCTGTCCGTCCCACGCGGTCGTCCTCTCCTGTCGCTCGTCCATCTGCACGTATCCCTCACGCAGCGCTCTATCCTCGGCCCGCCAAAACTGTGTCGCCACTTGACCTCTTCAAAGCAGCAACAGCAGCAACAGCAGCAGCAACAACAACAACAACAACAGCCATTGAAACCAAAACGCGTCGACCCCATCCGGTCGACGGCCTTTTCAATCGAAAAGCACACGTGGGCCGAACGTTATAGTCCCCCGTGGATGTTGCCCTACCTACAGCTCTCGCGCATCAATCGCCCGGCCGGGACGTTCCTGCTCTTGTGGCCGTGTTACTGGAGCATCGCTCTGGCAGCGCCAGCGGGTCACGTGCCAGACGGCGCTCTCCTGGCGCTCTTTGCCACTGGCGCTTTGGTCATGCGCAGTGCCGGCTGCACGATCAACGACATGTGGGACAGGGACTTTGACAAGCGCGTCGAGCGCACCAACAAGCGACCGCTTGCTGCGGGAAAGCTCTCGGACACTCAGGTGTGGGCGTTCCTGGGCGCCCAATTGTCGGCCGGACTGGCCGTCTTACTGCAGCTCAATGGCTACAGTATCGCCATGGGCGCGGCGTCTTTGGCACTGGTTGCTGTCTACCCGACGATGAAGCGGTGGACCTATTGGCCGCAAGCTTTCTTGGGCTTGACGTTCAACTACGGGGCCCTCTTGGGCTGGGCGGCCGTGCACGGGTCGTGTGCGTGGCCGGTCGTGCTGCCGCTCTATGCAGGTGGCGTGGCCTGGACACTGGTCTACGACACTCTCTATGCCCATCAGGACAAGAAAGACGATATGAAGATTGGGGTGCGCTCGACGGCGCTGCTCTTTGATGATCAAACGAAACCAGTGCTCAATGGGTTTGCTGCGGCGGCGATCGCTGGACTGGGCACTGCAGGGTACATGGCCGGCCTCGACTGGCCATTCTTCCTCGGCCTCACCGGCGGGGCCGCGCACTTGGCCTGGCAAGTGAATACGGCCGACCTCGACGATCCGCTTAGTTTGCAAGCGCGCTTTGCTTCGAACAAATGGTTTGGCGCCCTCATCTTCGCTTCCATTGTGACAGGCAAAGTTTGGTAGATCTCGTCTGCGTAGCGACGGACGTGGGTCTACGTCCACAAGAGTATCGGTCAAAGCTTCTTTCTAAGTGCTCTACATACGACGCTTAGCTGTCGGCGTACATATTCTTGATGAGCTTTTGCTGGTTATGTGAACCCGCGTGCGCATGTGGAAAGCACTAGAGCCGTCTTTCATTGGTCGCTTGCTTGGTACATGGTCACAAGGTCGTCTCGAGTGCAATAGGACTGGAGCAAGAGACAACAAAGTTGAGGAATCTGGACCAAGTCTCGACAAGGCAGGTCGGAGTCCTGAACTTATGCGAGCTTGATCTCGAGACATGATCAGCGATATACTACAAGGATCGTCGATTGGCAAGGTACGTTGCGTCGCACGCACAACCCAGGCCAATTACAATGCTATTTCTTACTCGATGGCTTCATCGAAATGGACGTTACTAGGGCTGCCTTCCATTGTCAAAGTGTCGATCTTACCGTGTGCCAGAGCTTCGTTCGCATGGGCGCGATCGCTTGCAGTTCCATACCAGCGATTATTGATTTCGCGGCTAGTTCTGCAGCCTGTTATAACGTGATTGTAACAAAGGAACGTACATGAAAGTGTGTTTCTTTGTGCGAGCTCCAGGTCTACATGGAGAGAGATATTTTCACGGCGTCCACATCACTTGGGAAACAGTGCACTAACAGGGTACAACTTTGATATCCGCTCAACGTAATGCTCGAGATTTCCCGTCATCAGAATCAATGTACCACACGACAGCTCACATCTCGTTAACACGGAAAAGCGCATACAATGATGTTGAGCGACGGATGATGCGGGCAGTCGTTTGTGACACGTGACCTGTTGCGTTCATCAAAAAAGTATCAATGTGCTTATTGTTTGTTTTGGTTTTAGTTGTAAGTCGAACTGTTCGGATACGGTCATACGTGAGCCGCTGCGGTGAAAGTGAAAGTTGAATACGTACGACGTTGAAGTGAACAGCTCTTTGTCGTGCATGTGGGACAGGACCTTTGACTGCCCCCACACAAAGCGCGTGCGCGGCGCTTTTCCCGTTGACGCTTTTACTGCGAGAGCAGCGTCGACGACGTTCGAACGAGAAATCTGGGAACAGTCTGTTGCTCGCAATGGAGTGGAACAACCCGTCCTGTCAGTCATCCTTTCTTCGTCGACCTCAATGCTGGTACAACGACTGTGAAGAAGGCGAGAGCGGCCAGGAGATGTCTTGGCCGCCACTGCCGTCCGATGCACTTGCTACTGACGAGGGTGCAGTGCCATGTCAACCGACATCTTCTCTGAAGACGGTGTGCTCGAGCACATTCGCAAACGACGGGCTGGTCGGTCAGTCGCGACCCTCGCTGAGCATGCCACAGCTCGAAGAAGCAACGGAGCTCCAGCCATTCCTTTTGTCCAGGAACAGTCTGCTGCCGAACAATGTCATGCAGCTGATGCAAAACGGGCCGCCACTGCCTTTGTCGCCGTCGCCGTCGCAAGAAGAGCTTCTGCCGTTACCGCAACAGCAGTTTGGTATGCACCTACCCGTGCAGTTGGCTTCGCAATACTCGGAGCCTCCAGTCGAGTCGAAAAGTCAGTACCTTCGACCACCCGCACCAGTACCTTCCTCGCCAATGCATCTGCCCCACAGCTCGGCCAGACCACCGCGAGACTATTTCCACGAAGGTACGGGTGTCGTTCAGTAGATCCGCTGAACAAGACCATTTTCTATTGTTTCGGATGTACAGATGCCGTAACGACTTTGCAACAGGTGTTCCAACTCTGCATAGCGCACGCAGCTTCGTGTCGACGCTGCCAACGAGTTTTTCGTCACTGGAGCAACAGCAGCTGCTGTACCAGGACAGAGACTTTGACAGTGACATGGCGCAAGAGATCTCGTCGGATCTGTTCCATGCGTCAGCGATGTCCACGGAACCGCTGGAGCGAGAGAGCTCACCACCGACAATAGGCAGCTCTCGAGATCCACGAAACCTCAGCGGCAGTGACACTTTCCCCAATTGTCCATCTGCTGCTACACCACTTGGCAGGTCGAAGCGAGGAAGTGCGTTGCGAGAACCGTTTACGGCAATGGCAGTGACCGACAAGCCCAAGTTTTCGCCCGACAAACGCAAGCTGTGCTGCGTCGAAGGCTGTTTGAGCCAAGCTCGAGCCTTTAACCGATGTAAACGACACGGTGGATCCAAGCGATGTTCGAGTCCAGGCTGCACCAAGAGCGTGCAGAGTCGTGGACCGTGTATCCGTCACGGCGGTGGCTCACGGTGTCAAGAGAGTGGCTGCACACGTGCATCCCAGAGTCATGGCCGGTGCAAGCTGCACGGCGGTGGCCGCCCGTGCATTGTGGCAGGTTGTGACAAGAAGGCGCATCTCAAGCGTCTCTGTCGCAAACACGGCGGCGGCACGAAGTGCTGCGTGGCAAACTGCGACAAGTGGTCTCAGCGTCAGGGCATGTGCATGACGCACTCGAAACGAGCAAAGCCAACTGGCAGTGGACTCGCTGGCACTCCATTGACGTTTAGCAATGACACAGCGTTTTCCTCGGCACGATCGAGTTCAGAGTTTTCGCCATCACCGCTCGACGTGTTCACGGACGAAGCGTAGTCAGCACAATGGGTCGTTTGCGTGGCATGTGGTTGTCGAGTTGAATGGGAACGAACTGCACGACCGATCTCTGTTTGTAAAGACACTTTGCAAGCGATTGTTTCGCAGAGCTGCTCCATGTTCACGGGACTCGGCAAGTTCCAAGTCCGCGTCGGAAAACGGGAGCGCTTATGTATGTGCTCAACGCAACTTGTTACGACGTAAGGAGTCGCACCGCTGCAATGGTAACGACTTTTCATCATATGCAAAAGTGCCTTTCAACTCAACTGCAACAATCCCTCTCTCCTCTCGTCAACTGACTGAGGCTTTTCGAGTGGCCATCTCCTCTGGCAACTGCATATTTGCTCCTGTCGCCATCAAAATTCCACGATGGGATGCCTCGCGTTTCGCTTTCTACCCACTGGGCGTTTCTGTCAGCTCACGTTGCTCGTTCCTGCAGGCAGACGGGAGCCATTAGAAGAGCATTGTGCTCGCTTTCGATGAGCTACAATGTCGATAATCTGTATGTAGTACTTTGCTCTGTAGAAAGAAATACGCGTTGACGGTATGAACCTGAACACGTGTGGCCTCTTTGTCCATGTGCACACGTTTGCTGGTGACAAAGCTGTTGAGTTTGTAGCATTGCCGAAGATGTAGTCTCCCTCAGAGTAGTGACCTCCGTTCGTTTCTTCTGCATGGCCATGCTCTAGAATTATCCGGATTACCCCTGGTTAGTGACCCATGTTCTTGTAATGAGCCAACAAAGGTCCGTTCGTATCAATCGACCTGCTGTGTCTCTCAAGAGACAGAATCGACATGAAAGACGTTATTTTGCCGATACGTGGCACAGACTGCAGTATGTGTTTACATTCCCTCTGTGCTACCTAACAAACAAGAGACGAGCGAGACTTTCCCGCCGCTCGCTGTTGTGTCCACGATTCGGTTTCTCCCCCTGTTCTGTCACAAGACGAGAATCGCAATCATGTATTGCACACAGGCACACAGGCCACTTTCGTTCGCAATCTGAACATCGCACAACGTCAGCATCACGAGCGTTTCAGCGACGCTACTCATTGGATCACGAGCGTCTACGGCGACGGACGACGACGCAGATTGCGACGGAAGAGACAGGTGGTAAAGGCGCTTGCGATCATCGCGGACCTCGTCGTATTCTTAGTCAACAAACATCGCCAGTCCTTCCGTAAACGTTGCCACGACTCGTTGCAAAAGAAGTGCAGCGCGCGTTCCAAAACAAGGTGGTGCGGGAAAACGAGCAGCTGAGATATTCAACGACTCCGATCAGCCCCAGTTCATGCCCGCGTCCCATTGGCCAGTCGGTCGTGACCGCCTGGCGTGTCACAGCACCTGTCGCAGTGCGCACTGAACCCCCGTCGAGGAACAAGTGACAGGACAGCCACCAGTATGGACGGCGGCCCGAGCGTCGGCCCCAACGCGATGAACGCGGTGCTCTTCTACTCGCCGCTTCTGACGTCGAGCGAGCACAACATGATGACGGCAGCGTTCCCGTCGTGCTCGAAGCGAGCGCGCACGGGCACGAGCAGCTACCTACCGAGCAACAGCACCAACAGCAACACCAACAGCAACAGCAGCAGCAGCAGCAGTACAAACACCGCAGGCAGCAGCACGAGCGCTGGTTTCCTGTCTCTCCCGCCACCCCTACCCCCATCCTCCCTCTCGGTTTCCTTTCCAGTCCCACCCCCCGCCATTGAGCCATTATTGTCGGCCGAGTTGCCCTCGAACAATTATTGGACTGGGTACCCCCGCACTTACGGTGGCACAAGGTGTACCAGCGGCAGTGGTACAGGCAGCGCAGGGCATCCGCACAGCTCGACGTCGAGATGCAGCGCCGACACGGGACCGCTGGCTGCAGGCGCCGCGTCGCTCTTTGCGTGCGACTCGTTCCTGCCCGACGACGACGCGACGCTCTACTCGCTCTGGAGCGCACCGGGCGGCAGCGACTCCGTGTTGGGCTACGAGACAGCAGACAGTGTCCACGCGGCGCACGTCGAGTCGCCACAAGTCGCACAAGAACAGGACCAGGAGCGGGGACGAGCGCACGGGCCGACAGCGCCGCCAGAGGCAGAGCAGTCGTCGCTGTACCTGACGTCGGACGGTGAGCTGAAGATCGACTACCCGCACCTGTCGGCGCTGCAAGAGGACTTGGACTCGTACTTAAGCGAGACGATGGCAGCAGGCGGTCCGTCGCCCACGACGCCGCTCGGTACGCATCCGACGCACTGCAGCAGGAAAAGAGACCGACTTGGGACGACGAACGAGCGACTGGGCGGCGTCCCGGTGCCAGCCGCAGAGCAGTACGTGAAACGCGAGCGAGCGACGGCGGGAGGGGACAGTGCGTCGCCCCGCCGGACGCTGAAGGCTCGTGGCGGGCGACGCACTGACGCGTACGCAGCACTACCAGTCGAAATGGACTCTGCGGGGGAAGTGGCAGTGAGGGGGACGACCACGAGCGTGCACCGGACTCTGCCTCAGAACGCAGCGGTAGAGCTGAAGCAGCGAGTGACAGTGGGCTCGCACCAGGGCAGCCGATCGCCGCTGGTGTCCGCTCCGGCTGCGACCGGCCAGACGGCAGGTGGTGCGTCACGCGGGACCGTCACTCTGCCGTCAGTAGCCACGTCGACGTTGTCCACCTCTGGTGCGAAAGCGAAGAAGCGTCCGCGGAGTCGGCAGTGCGAGTTTCCAGGCTGTCAGAACCGGGCGCGGTCACATCAAAAGTGCAAGAAACATGGCGGTGCGCACCACTGCGTGTTCGAGGGCTGCACGAAGAACAGTCAGAGTCGCGGACTGTGCATCGCGCACGGCGGGGGCTCTCGGTGCAAGAAGGAGGGCTGCATTCGAGCAGCGCAGTCGAAAGGGCTGTGCAAATCTCATGGCGGCGGGGAGTACTGTGCCGTCGAAGAGTGCAACAAGAAGGCTCATCTGAAGCACCTGTGTCGCACACACGGCGGTGGCGTGCGCTGTAAGTTTGAAAAGTGCTCCAAGTGGGCACAGCGCAAAGGCTGGTGCATGGCCCACGCCAAAGAGTTTGCGTCGTCGTGATGAAGAAGAAGGAACGAGCTAATTTATTACCTGAGTCGGGCCACGATCGAGCGACACGCAGCAGATACAACGAGGGCCGCGGCGCTGTGTGCCGCCTGGAAGCTCGGTACGCACCGGGAAGAAGTTTGCATCAGCTGGTTTCACGAGCTTTGGCAAGTCTATTATGGACGGGATGTTACAGCGAGCACTGAAGTCATCACTTTCCAGTCTCGACTACAATATATCGTACTTCGTCGTCTGCCGCGTGCTCGCCTCGTTTGTCCCTCTAGCCCTCCGATTCGAGCACGTGTGGTAGCGCTTTGTTTCCCAGACTGTGACAGTGGACGGACACTGTGTGCACGTTCCCGTGGTCATCAACGACCACACTCGAGAAAACGCGCGTCTGCTGCCGCTTGTAGCCGGTCTTCATCTGCCGATTCTGCTTCGCCTCTCAGTCCGTCCCGAGGCTTCTGACGCCATTTTCCGTCTGCGTGCGTCCACTACCTCAATACAGCCACAGCTGAGAGACCCTCCAGAGGTCTTGCGCTCAAGATAAGTCGTTCAACACAGTCTGCGGCACAGACGGCACAGACGGCACAGAGAACTCCATGCTCACGTTGGCAGTCGAAAAAGGCGCTGGACTGCTGCTAGAGCTCGACAGACTCTCCTCGTCGTTGTCAGGGTCATCGTCCGTAGTGGTTGGAGAAAGCGGGGACGGGTCGAACAAGCTGTACAGCTCCGTCCAGGGCAGCTCGTCCGTCGACACGACCCGACGAGCGGGTTGCTCTTCTTGGAACAACGAGTGGTTCTGGAGCTCTTCCGACCCTTGCGGGTCATTCACATGCAGCTGCTGCTCGTGTTGTTGGCTGATCATCATTTGCTCCGCAAGCTGCTGGATGAGTCGCTGCTTGTGCTGCAGCAACTCTTCCTGTTCGCGTCGGTGTCTGCAAAGTTGTTGGTGCTGCTGGTCGATCAGCAGTTGACGTTGTTGGCGACCAAGCTGTTGCTGAAGTTGTTGCTGCGCGCTCTCATTCGGTGGCAATCCGTTGCTGCACGTCAGGTTCTGCAGACCTTGGTAGTCGAAACTTGCCGACACGCTATCCACTGGGACGGACGATGGTGGAGGACAGACAGCCATGGGTGAGGATGATACAGACCCAACCATACTCTCCATCTTGAACGGCAATACATCTGGCATCGATGACGGATACTCGACAAAGCCAGTGGACAATGTCGGGACGGTGTTTATCCGCATCGCAGGTGTCACACTTTGGCGACGTCCATTCTTCATGTTTTCTTTGGCGGGAGAAAAGATAGGGGAGCTTATTGGGCAGCTCAACGCAATCGTCGACACTGGAGAGGCTGGAGACTGGGGCATCACCGGTACACCCAGAGGAGTCAAGTCTGCGTTTTCCGCGTGAGCCATACGCTTTCGCTTGTGGTTCCTCTTGTCACCGAGTTCTTGCTTGTCGAAAGCATCGACCTCAGGCTTGATTGCAGCAGGATTGGCTCTGCGACTAGAGTAGATGGAAAAGCCGTCGGAGCGCAGACGCTCGAGACAGTACATGTACGAGCCCATTGGTTTCATAAAGAGCACTTCCAGCACGTGGCGCGTATCGTTTCCTGATAGTCCCTGGCCACGTGGAGCGGTCCAACCGTAATGCCATGCTTTACACTCCGCGTTGAACTCGAAAATGGCCGACTGAGATAATGTCTCCATGGCGGCACCACGTAGAATGCCTGGAAACAGCGGGCTCATTGGATGTTGCTTGTCTCGCACCCACGCCAGTACATTCGTCTTTTCGATCGTCTGTCCAGGAACGACTTCAGGTCCAGACACTGTCGGATCGAAAGCACCATCCAGGTTGAGAAAACGCGCAAACGCCAGCACGCCTGGGCGAGTCGTATGGATGGGGCATATCTTGACACCTCCTGATTCAGTCACGCGCGTGACTGCGACGTGCACTTTGATCGAATCGCCACAAAAACCTGAGCTCACATGACGTCCGTTCCGACAGCACGGGAAGCAGCGCAAGTTCTTCTGTCCTCCTTTCTTATTGTTGCGCTGATAGCGCTGTCGAAAGAGCTGGAAAGTCTTGGTAGGTGCGACAAAAGACGCTCGGACGCTCAGTCCGCGCGGGTTCTCGCACGAATCATTGCAGTACGGGCCTGGGACCCGCTGCTGATGCACGAGACAACTCGCGTCTTCTTCAGGGTCGTCGCCCCACATGGGCTTTGTATTGCCGTCCGACTCGATCCACGTGCCGAAGATTCCAGCTTCGAGCTGGTACATGGGCGGCCCGAGCAACAGCGAATCACGTGCTGCCAACAGGTTGTAAAACTCCACGCCGTCTTCGATACTCGACGGATACGTCTGTCGCATCACGTGGAGGTTCGAATACTTGACCTAAAGCAGTAGTGATAAAAAAACACTTTTTTACCACATGGTGCCACAATGGATACATGTCAACAGCCGAAAAAAAAAGCACGTACGATGGACGTGTAGGTGAATTCTCCAGGCGGCGGACGCACGACGCACGTCGAGACGTGACCCGCTGTGTGTGTGGTCTTGAGAATCAGACGCAGTAGACGCTCGAACTCGTCCACGTACCGCGGATTGACGCACATGCGCGTGACCAGAACGGCCTACAACAAGCAACAGCAAAAAAGCGGTTTAGGGCAAAACCACATTTTATAAAAAGCAGACCGACGATTACCAGCGACGACCCAAAAAACGAGTGCGGTGATGGACGAAAAAAACAGCAGACACGCGCACCTCTTCGTCGTCGTTGATCCGAGTCGACTGCAGTGCGTTCTTGAGCGTGCGGAAGGACAGCAGCAGCTTAGCGCTCGTGGCGTCGTGACTTCCCATTGGTCGGCTCTGCTGTGTGGCGTCCGTGGTGCGCGGCGAGACCATCACTCTTTTTTTTTCTTGTGCCGTCCGTCGATGACAACTCGGAGGACCTCTAAGAATTAGTAGATTAGCAAGTGCTGGCGCTGGCCGTTTCTATCGCGTTTCTAACAAACCCCGCACAATTTCGGACTTCCGAGGTTGTATACGTGTTGCAACTCGTTACGTGTATGTATAATACCTTTGGCCAGACCATTATAAATGCAGTGAGTGACTCAATGGCCTTTCAAGTCGGTCAGCGATCGATGGCCGAGTTCGGCTCGTCAAAGCTTCCAGCAGACGTAACTTGTATGCGTTTATTTTTGCTTCTAATGCATTACCGATTCGATTGCGACGGATCGTTTTCCACACACACTTGTGCAAAATCATAGCTCAAGTGAGATGTCCCACTGAACTACTGCAATTGGTCTTGTGCTGGACAAGTCAATAGACATCGCAGTTGATGTGCCCGAGACGCTATCATCGTGTCGTGGCAGCTCACGTCGTCAGTTTGCCGCTTCTCTTCGAGGACTTTACGCATCGTGTTGCACAATTCCAACGACGGAAGCGGAGAGACCAGAGCCGTGACTTCGGGTTTCTCAGGCGTCTTGGCTTGGCCAGAGTCGGTCGCAGCGCCGCTGGTTTGCTGATTGCATGCCGCTGATCTAACAGTTCATACTCTGAGTCAAAGTTGTCGGCCCCATACCGCACCACATAACACCTACCTCGGCGTCAACTTAGAGCTCGATGTTTTACGAGACGAACCAGCTCGACTGTGAACTCGCTTGCAAACGGACCCGTCGTCTCGCACTGGGGATTCCAACAGACACTCTGGACAATCGCGAGGTGAGACTCTCCGAAGGTCCAGCAGTCGGGGTATCGAGTACTTGCGGTTCTCGCAAGCCTTATCGACTGTGTCCTCGTCCACCAGCGCTGTTTCTTCCTCGCGCAAACTGTCGTCGTCCACTGTAGCTACGCATGCCTCACGAAGCTTCTCCTGCAATTCGTCACTTGCAGCAAAAGACTCTTTGCGGTGTACTTCGACGTGGTGGCGATCGTCATCAGTAGAAGCGTCTGCTACAGGCACACAAGTGTCATCCACATCATCGCTCGGCTTACTGCTTCCAAGCTGCTCGTCTTTGTCGCCCACCTGACACTTTCCAGTCAGATACTCTGCGAGTGATCCCAGTTCAACACGGTCGTATCGGATGCGATCCACTGTCGTCCCGCCAGTCTTTTGTTCGTCGACCCTATCGTCCAGCTTTTCATGCAGTACAACGTCCTCAACTACCGGTCGCCACAAAGACGCAGCAGTGTCAAGTACCCCATCTCCCCCCTCCTCCGCTATGCGTGCGTCCACAGAGCACCCATCACGCTCGCTGTGGTCGTGTTGCGCGTTCATAGCTTCATCAGCCATCCATTCGTTGACACCCGGATCGCCGGCCGCGTCAACCGCCACCGTCGCATAGTACTCCTCGTAGCACGCGCTGCAGTAGTAGCAGCCGTCGCTCGCGTCCAGCACCATCGCGCGCTGCTGTCCTCGTCTTTGTCCACACGTCGTACACTCGGAATCCGTTTCCTTCGCGTCCGCTGCCGCCGTCGGTCCGTCGTCGTCCGCCACGCGCATCGCGTCCAGCAGCTTTGCCACCTCACGTCGCAGCATCTCTGCCCGTCGCACGCCTCGAGCCAACTCGCTGTGCCGTCTTCCCACATGCCACTCGAGACCGCACTCGTGCACCACTTGCACGGCGTACTCGAGATTCGCCTGTGCTTCGTACACGGCCGCAGGGTCCGGCGACTGCGCTGCCAAGCGGACACACGCCTCGCCCACGTTGACCGACAGCACGAACAGGGCGGCGTGGTCCTGTGCGCGGTACGCACGCGCTTGGGCGGCCCGCCACGTCGTCCGCGCGCGCGCGTAGGCGCCTCGAGCGGCCCAGTCGCGGCCCTGGCGGATCGCGCGACGACTTTCGTCCATTCAATCGCGCGCGGCGCCAGCTGTTGGGCCGCGTCGATAGAAATATGTCGCGGGGGTACGACGAAAGGGGTACGCTCGGTCGTTTCTAACGAGGGCCCGCAACGAGCGCAAACACCACGCGCTTGATTACGCCCGACAAGGGGCGTCCAAGTGGCTACACCAAAATGGGTCGAAAGGATCCAATCGAGCGGTTCCTTGAGCTGCTGCGGATTCGCACTGTGAGCGCAGAAGGACCGCGCGGGAGCTACGAGGAGGTACGGAGACAGGCAGACGAGGCACTGGCGATGCAAAGACACGCGGGAGTAATTGGTGTGTCTCGTGCTACGGACGTTATTGGTGGCGGTGGTGGCGGTGTTGTTCATAGTGTGCGGAATGGCTACAGCGGTACCTTGAAGAACGTATGTCGTACATAACGCATTGAATGGACAGTAGACGTCACGTTATGTGTAGTGAGAACAAGGAACGAACAGGATGGAACACGTACATGTGATGGTCTGTTGTTTTTTTCTCGATGCGTTGTTTGATGTGGCAGTTGGTCTCTCGGTGCAAGTGTTCGCACCCATGGCCCACAAACCCGTCGTGCTGGTTCGTCGCGGTCTTTTGCTTCTTGTGGCTCGTGGCGGTCGTTTTGTGTGTGTGTGTAGCTGCACTGATCGTTCGAAAGGACGTGTCGCTCACGAGTTGCTGTGCTAATGCAACAGGCGACGTGGCATGGGGAGGACCCGACGCTTCCGGGGATCCTACTCAATTCACATTATGATGTGGTACCAGCGGTGGCAGAACACTGGCAGTACGACCCCTTTGATGTGAGTAGTTCGAGACGACGGCTTGTGGGTCTGGTACTCTGTCAGAAAGACTGACCTTGTTCTGTGCTGTATCTCCCGTTGTCCCTTGTCTCTGTTTCTTGTCTCGTTTGTTGTTTGTTGTTTGGCCGAGGTCAGGCCCAAGTCCTGGACGACGGGCGAATTTACGGGCGAGGAGCACAAGACATGAAGAGCGTGTGCATTCAGTACGTTGAAGCTGTGCACGTCCTCCTCTCTTCGGGGTTCAAGCCCAAGCGCAACATCTATCTTTCTTTTGTGCCGGACGAAGAAATTGGAGGTGTGGAAGGAATGGAGAAACTTCTGGAAAGCACGCAGTTCAAGGCTATCATGCCCGTTGTGTTTGCGTTCGACGAAGGGTTAGCCAACCCCAATGATGTGTTCACGGTGTTCTATGGAGAACGAGCTCCATGGTGGGTCTACGTGAAGGCCGAGGGGCCAACCGGTCATGGCAGTCGCTTCATCAAGGACACGGCTGTTTCGAAGATCGTGGGTATCTGTAACAAGGCATTGGCGTTTCGTGACGAGCAGGAAAAAGCACTCGGGGCCGACGACGGCTGCAAGCACGCTGACATGAAGAAGAAAACGCTCGGAGACGTCACGACGATTAACATCACGGCATTGCAAAGTGGCGTTTCGCAGGATGGCGGGAAGACGCACGCCCTCAATGTGATCCCAAACGAAGCCATCGCCGGTTTTGACATCCGCATATCACCTAAAATGGACTTCAAGGTGATGCAAGAAAAACTAGACGAGTGGTGCGCGACCGAAGGCGTCTCGTGGGAGTTTGCGTCGTGGACGAATCCGATGTACGAACATTACATCACTTCGCTTGATGCTGACAACGTTTGGTGGCAGCTTTTCCAGGCGTCCTGTGCTCGCATCGGAGTGAAGTTGGAGACGGAGATTTTTCCAGCAGCTACCGATAGCCGCTTTCTCCGCAAGATCGGGGTGCCTGCAATTGGATTCTCTCCAATGAAGCAAACTGAGATTCTATTGCACGAGCACAACGAGAGCCTCCCGAAAGACGTGTTCCTGGACGGGATTGCAGTTTACGTCAATGTGTTTCGAGACATGTTTGCTCATGAGTAGCCAGCCGGTGCTTATCCGATGAAGTCGCTGCTGAGGCGTTGGCTCGTCGAAGGGTTGCGATAGGGTGGACTGAAGAATCGATCCAGCGTACTTGCGTCAGTTGTAGTTGCGCTTGCATCCATCGGTGCGCTGCTACCCAATGTTGTTTGGAGTCAACAAGAGGCAATCAGATATGGTTTACCACGCCCTGGTGCTGTCAGAGTCACACACAGACACACACTCGTTCTTCATCAGTACAGAGCTTTGCTACATCATTACCGCCAACAGCTCTAGTTCCAAGATCCTTACCACCAGTAATCCAGCTAGAGTTGAAGTTGGCATCGATCGTTCTTCTACTTGTAGCTTCTGTGGCTGTGTACAAAAGTTCAGCACCACTAAAAGGCTGCGGTGTGTGTTGCTCATGACCGTGCACATGTACAGATGCACGTGCAAACGCTATCCTGAAAGCACCAAAAGTCATGCGAACTTCGTTTGTGTGCTACATAGACTCCGTACGTGTGTCGTTTTGCACGTCATGAAGCATGTGGTTGTTCCAAAGTGTTATTGGTATGGCGCAACGTTCACTTGTTGCTATCAACGAGAGCTTCTTGACACAATCGTATGTATTGCAGCACAATATGGCCACTTTGGGGTAGCATCCTGCTGTCCTACTCAAGGATACCACAGTCTTGCTGATGTTCCAAGCAAAGCAACACCCCAATACAAACAGAACATCAGCTCCAGCTCGTGTGCATTCATCCGTCCATGGCAGCCCACATTTGCGTCGCAGCTATCTGAGCTAACAAGACCTGTAACTCTTCTCCGGTAGTATCTTGATAGAAAGCAAAAAGCATTGACCGCGTCTGAATTGACAGTGTATGCTGCCGTAGATAGCGTCGCAAGCTGTGTAACTGCACCTACGCATAACCCCATTGGAACACCGTTCCCAACACCTCAGCGCCTGGAGGTAAATTGAAGACGACGCAGCTAGTGACCTGATGTTATGGCCGGTGACGACGCCGACTGTGATGTGGAAAGCGATATTGAGAGGACCTCAGCGAGTGGCGCTGGTTTCTGTTCGGGAGGTGCTACTGCAGGTGATGTCCCGGGGACGTCGACGGTGGTGCAGCAGCGGCAGTCGAAACATCAGTGATTGACGAAGCAGCACTTATGACAGCGGCGTCCGATGGAGGCAACGAACGAGCTGCCAACAGCAAAGAGAACTCGACGTACAAGAAAGCAGTTAGAAGTTGTGTGTGCGCGTGAACCTGTTGGTTATGAGCCCAAGCAGGGCTATGAAGTTTACCAGTGATGGGATCCCAAAGAATTGGGATGGTAAGGACTGGCAGACTTACAAGTGGGCTATGCCGACTGTGTTTGAGGAGAACCAGCTGGAACATGTCGTTGACGGAACGATTACCGCCGCGATGCTGCAAACAGCGACTGCGGAGAAACAGGAAGAGTTTGAGCTCAAACAAGTCAAGATCAAGCGGATGGAAACTACAGCTAAGGTCAGCTTGGTGCAGGTGATCCCTCGATCTGCTTACCCCACTATGGAGTAAACACCGAGTTGGTTGAAGTCTGTTAAGCAATGTCGCGGACCAAAACGGTACATTTCGTACGAAGCATTCGCCCCCTTTCATCATAGCTATCGGATCAGCAATGCGATTGACTGCAAGACAACTTTACCGCCTGCATGCAGTGGCCTGAACTTAGCCACTGCTAATGCAACAATCAGCGTTTTGTTTTGTTATCAGTTCGCAGTAGTCGGTACTGCACGACACTCTGTTTCGTACGCGTTGGTCCTGGCGCTACGTTCATGCGGGCAATAACAGTTGAGGCAAATGTTAAAGCAGAAGAAGGCCATCCAGCAAGTAGACATCAGGTGTTTCCAGCTATGCAATGTCTCGTCGCTGGATTCTTGACGTGACACAGTGGCTAAGCGATATTGCCACATGTGTCTGACTGACACATCCGTTCGAGGCAAATGGAACGCGAGTACGAGAGCTACCGATACACGAAGCAGGTCAGATGCTCCGAGGCCGTTGTCGTAAGCAAAGTCTTTGGAGGTTCGGCGTGAAACGTGACCAGACCGATACGTGCGACTTATATAGACTCAGGCGTAAGAGGTATGTCATACGAAGTGCGAAACAGCACATTCGACTGATACGCGCAGGACGCACAGCGTCTTGAGAGGACATGTTTGTTGTTCGTTGCTGCAGCTTCAACCCCAAGCCAAACCATCGACCGATTGATTGCACGGTGCCACTTGCTTGCACGAGACAACCACGAGTGATAATGATACAAGCAAAAACACGCTCGTCGTCTCTGTATTGACCGACCAGCTACCAACCCCGCTACGAGTCGGCACGCTTTTGCTGCTGGTCAAAGATCCACTCGTCAATTTTCGTCTTGAGCTCAGTGTTTGGTTGCAATTGGCTCGCTGTCAGTGGTACACGGGTAAACGGGTCACTCTGGTCGTTCAGCAAGTGCTGAGAGATGCAAGACCGGTCCATCGTGTACCCACTAGGCAACAGCACAGGGTCTTTCATTAGTGTAAACACCAACGGGTCAAGAAACTCCTCTGGAATATCGCCGAGAGCCTCCTCTCGTATCGCTGCACCCTCAGCGGCCCTCCCGATATCTTCAACAAACGTTTCAAACTTCTGGATGTCGCTTGGATCCAATAACTGCGTACGAGCCACAATCTGGGCACACTTACGGAACACTCGACCGTCATAAAAGCCATTCGTGGCCACAGCCTCTAGAAAACTCGGGTAGTGTGCGAAGTGCAATAGCGTTTCCACGATCTCCTTCAGCATTACCTTCGGGCGAAACTTGTACTGCTCCGGATTGTTCACTTTCAGCTCCACGCCACGCGGACCAGCAAGCTTGACAATCACGCTGTTTAGCATACTCACAAGGCGATCCTCGAGCTCTGGCATCTTCACGAAAGGCTCCTGTATCTCAGACGTCAGGTACGACATCATGTGGATGGTCTCATTCGCAAGCTGAAGACTCGACGTGACGGTGCGCTCTTTATCGGACAGCAGACTCTGCTTTTGCTCGCGCACAGTCTCGTCAAGGGCCATCCAACGCGCGGTATCGTTCATCTCCTCCTGCAACATCTTGATCTCCGGTAAAGCAACAAGCGCATCAGTTACCAAGCTGTTGATGTGGTTCATCAGCCCGTGCGCGAACTTCACAAAGTTGTCTTTGTCCTTCGCGATGAGAAGAAAAGCTGGCTTGTGACCATTCAGCTTCCACATATACTTGAGCAGACACGCAATATTGTAGCGGTGTTCGAGCTTCTCGTAAAAGCCTGTGTGCTCGACATCACCATACAGCGCCAGCAGGCACGGAGCAAGATGGCGCTGTGCCAGCACATCCGTCATGAGGAGTTCCATTCCAAACGGCGTCCCAGCAGTTTCGCGTTCATCAGACTCCTCAGATGGTAAAAAGATATGGAAGAGCACTTCGCTCATTTTGGCGCGCAAGTGAGGACTGTGCACATAAGCTGGGCTAGATAGAAAAACGATGATCATCTTGAGCAACTCCTTCAGCTCAAACGCGTTCAGTGTCTTCGGCTCAAGTCGAGCAACAAACTTTAGCGTCGTGCACAAGTCATCTACCAAGTGCTCGGGTATATACTTCAAAACAACATTCGCATTTGTGTCCGGCGTCGGTAGTGGCAAATCGAGCATCGTGTGCTCGTCGTATATATCAAGTCCGGTACAGATTGAGTTCACAACTGCACACGTAAGCAGGGAGAAACGAACCATCTCATGCAGAAATTCCGGATGCAAAAGCTCGGCGTCCATAATCATCTTTGTAGTGGCCATCTGATCAAAGTGTGCTCGCAAACGAGGATCTGCATCCTGATCAGCCATGCGGCTTTGGAAGTAAGAAAGTTGGCGGAGCAAACGAATGTATTGCCCCATCATACCCACAGGACCTAGGTGCATCGCCCGAACCGTGATGAAGTAGCAACGCGTGACAAAGTGAAAGTCGGAGGCGTTCACCACCTGGCGGTCGTCGTCTACCATATCCGCATCCAGAGTACCTGAACCAACCAACCTCGTCTCGTCAACTGGAAACAACGGGTTCTGGGTAGCCAAGTACTCTGTCTTGATGAAGTGAGCTTTCTTCGACTTTGGTGCCATGAAAGGACCACACAGCTTGAGCAGCACCATTGTCAGGTTGACAAACATTCCGTTCGTTGCTGTGGTGTTTACGTCAGGGTTTTCTTTAGCCCGCTCCACGTTCACCTGCATTGCCTGTTCCAACCATGTCAGAACGCGTTCACGCGAGAGCGCACCAGCTTTCAGTAGTAACGTGACGATATCCGTAACCGATGTCTGGACACTATCGAGTTTGTTGCGTATAGTCAGGATCGAGCTGTCTACATCGTTCTTCGTACGTTTCGTAATGTTTGTAAACATCTGCGTAATGGCTGGATCCTGATTGCAGCTAAAGCGCAGCAGCAATCCGAGTGCTGTAGCATCCTGGAGCCGTCGACCCGTCATGGGCAGACCTGGTGTGAGCAAGAATCCAGGAATTTGCGTGAATACCAGCGCCAACGCCTTGTTGCGACACAACACGGTGAGCGTGTACATGTTCGAGTAAAAGTTAGACATGAGAGACGGCGGCGTGATCAGGAACAGCTCGGACAGTAACTTCTGGAACATAGGGGCAAACACAGCCATCGTGGCATCGCTCGCTTCCAGCTGAGCGACAACACCATCAATATAGTCCGGTGTCTCCGCACTAGCTTGTGTTCGCACAATCTTCTCGAGTGCATCGGCATTGATCGTGCCTGCTTCAAACGGAAAGATCTCCGGGTCTGTCATGGCCGTTGCACTGTAATTCACGCACATGTCGCGAATACTCTGTAGACTCGCGAGCGTTTGCTCCTTGACGTCGGCCGGCAGTCGAACAAACGACGACTGCAGCTTCTGCATCTCGTCTCGACAGCGGTAGAACACCTGCTCGAGGTACGCCACAGCGGCCAGCGGGTGCTGCGACCCTCCAGGAAGATCGACAGGATTCCGAACGACGCGAGCGTAGAGCACTTCACTGACGTTCGCTGGACTCAAGAGCTCGGTGGGTGGGGCGTCGTCTGTCGCCGTTAAAAGCTCGGGCAAGAGCAGTAAGTCGCTGTTGCTATGGGCAGGCGACAGCGTCACACGGAGGACCCGCTGGAGGACATTGTTGACGTAAACATCGGGAAGAGGGCCCTTTTTGCGCACCAATGGCGCTGCATCAGGAGCTCCGCTCTTAAGTGGCAGTGGGGTGGGTCGGGCTGTCGTTTGATTGGCTGTTATTGGCACGTCGGCCGAGCGCGCTTTTGTCGTGTCCTGATTGGCGGAAACACACGGCGCGGCCGTCTCCTGCTGCTCCTGCAGCCGCTCGAGCCGTTTCCGACGGATCTCGTCGGCAGACACAGGTGCGGCCCCATCAGCTGCGCATGCGTCGCCTCCGCTCTTGCGCTCGCTGTCGCCCTCGTCCTTCTTCTGCAGCCACGCACTCACCCAGCCGGACATGGTCCACGATCTTTGATTGGAGCAAAAGCACGAGTACGGAGCGCGTGTTGTTCATGTGCACCACATCGACCACGTTAACTCACGTTCTCCTGCGTGACGACGAGCCGATGCAGAGGGAGCGGGTTTTGTCCAATGAGATGCCGTGTAAAGTGAACGGCCGGTCGCAACAGCTACGTACGCCACACGAACACAGCTGCCGCTTATGTGCGCCACACGAGCACTTGTACTACTGATGTGCGCCACACGAGGACTGATACCGATTGTGTGCGCCACACGAACAATGCACATCACGACCAACAACACTACTTGCTGTCATGTTCGTGCAGCGCTCAATTGCGACGCGCAGCTGCACGCGGCGCTGCTCATCCGCTGTCAACGCGTTTTGCTTTAGCTCATTCAGTGAAAGCACTAGTGCCACTAGCGATTCGCTGTTGGCGCGCACTCAGACGATTCGGTCTGAGCGAGAGATGGAGACGCTGGGCGAACGATTGGCTCAAGGGCGACAGCCGGGCGACGTTTTGTTTCTACAAGGGTTCGTGACTCACCTGACCGCAGATTTGATGATTTGGATCGTGTCGTGTGCTACAGAATGCAGTGGTGGGGTTCATGAGATGTGCGACATTTGGTGCATGTGATTTTTAGCGATCTGGGCTGTGGGAAGACGTGTCTCGCTCGAGGATTTGTACGAGCGCACACACAGCTAACGCAGTTGGCAGTGCCGTCGCCGACGTATTTACTGGTCAATACGTACGATGACGCACCTGACACGGCGGCCGTGTACCACGTCGATTTGTACCGGTTAAGTACCGTGACGGAACAAGATGCAGCTGCTTTGGGGTTGGCTGCAGCATTTGAACGAGGTAATGGCCTGGTCGTGTAGACGAAAGGGCCGATGCACGAATCGAGATTCATGGGCGATATGTTGTCCTTGTTTGGTGATAGGGATTACGCTAGTAGAGTGGCCTGAGCGCTTGGATGAAACAAGTGCTCCGAGAGAGAGACTCGAGATCCGGATGTCGTATGTGGAAGGGGAATTTGAGACTCGACATGTTGAGCTCCGGCCTGTAGGACAGCGGTGGACAAGCCGGTTCGCAGAAAATACAAAGGACCAGTGAACTCGGTACACTGAAAAGCATGACAGGCTTTGCGATGTGACCAGTTCGACTTAGTTGAAGCTGCTTCGGAAGTTGTATGGCGCCTTATTGCAACAGGCAGTGATAGCAGGAGCTGGCTGAATCATCGACGCATTCAACGGGTAAAGACCGCCCGTACGTTTCTTGTTGTGTGATGGGGCTCACTACATTGTGGTGCGCGTTCACATTTGAGCACATCAGTCAAGTCGACATAGCCACTGCAGCGTCCAGCTTTTCACGAGCTGGTCGTCACGTCGTGCTTATCTCGCACGTGACTAACGCATGGACGAGTGAACGATAAAATAGGGGCAAAGCTTCTGCTTGAAGCCGCTAGGGCCAATCATATCCAGAAACAGCTTCATGCGCTTTATGAACCGTTGCTTCGTGCCTCTAGTTATGTATATTCTTCCAGGATAGGGGAGCACGCCGCCCTGGCGCTCGCTTTTTGCTATCAGTAATCCGGTTGGGGGAACAAACTATGTTTCGGACAAAGCATAATACATTGGCGTCTGACAAGGAAAAGGCATGATCGTGTTATCACGCTTATGGTCCCAGCAGAGGCTGCCCAGCCTTATCTCCTCAGACTTTCGTAGCGCACAACTATGTAAATCGCTAAGCTTGTAGAATCTAATACATGTGCACAGAGTAACTGCCGAGTGGCAAATGTGTCAACTACCTGACAGCGCAACAGAAGCCAAATTAGATGTCGTCTCTGGCTCTCATACCAAACGACGATGAGGTTTGGCCTCAGCTCCTGACTCCTTGTGCCACATGCAAAGCGGGGGAGATGCTCTTGTCAGGAATAGTCTATTTTAGGGGTCGCTATTCACCGCTCTCTTTTCGCTAACCACCACTCACCCTCCCAATTTAGATTACCCTGCATGCTTCTCTCTCGCTGTAATTGGCTGAATTGAAAATTAGACAATATTGATGATAACAAAAGTTCAAGCGAAATCATAAAATCGTTAAAAAGAATACATGTGTTATAACACTTTTAGCTATTACTTTATTATGCTTTACCCTGTGCAAGCGCTACCATGTCCAGATAGTGCTCTTAAATTTTTGGTGGGTATCAAAATATTATATCCATTCGTCATCAGCACCAAGATCATCAAATGTACAATTGCAGACCACTGCCGGGGGGGGGGTTAAAAGAGATTGCCGACATCTTCTTATGTTTGGTCCTGGCTCTACGCAGTTACCGCATCGACGTACAAACAGCAAATAATTCAGCAGAACAATAAATCGCGATGAACCTCACCGAATCCAATTCTGCGATCAGTTCCCATACTCTCTTGCCCACTAAAACGAACAGGACACATGAAGACATGCTGGACAAACACACTGAGGAGCTCCGCTGCCGGTAGCACATCTAGGTGGTCAAGATTTTCCTGCTGCCTGAACGAGGATCCTTCTTCAAAATTTCTTTAGTGCGCTTCATTCTTTTTCGATTAATGTGGGTGCAACATGTAGGAAATTGACAAAGTATGGTCAATGACTTCGATATTAAAGAGTGTGCCAGACTCGTAATGCCCCCGCCGGGGGTCTCGACAGTGGCTTTATCAATCTAGAAGTGAGATCTTGCTCCATCCTGAGCTCAACGACTAAGAACCTTCTAGAACTTGGTGTAACTACACAAATTACAAACTACAGTTACGAAATCGATCAGCTGGGGCGTCGACTCGGAAGGGAGTGTCCGCTATGACAACTCCAATCTACATTTACATGCGCCAGCTCTTGTCAAGAAGGCTGCACAAGATACTAGTGTTAAGATAAAAATTATGCTGATGAAAGTGGTGTTGTGAACGTCGAAGCCTATATTAGTATACTACAGAGCGTACATTGTAACTCACGCGAAAGAAGATTTGTGTGTTCATTTCGAATATTTTATTTAGCCAATCACAATATTATAATGGAGGGTGAGTTGTGGTCAGCGAAAAATGAGTGGTGGATAGCAGTGCCTATATTTAGCTCCCAATGTTCTGTTTTCGAATACAGCGATGGAATAAGGATATTAATCATGCGCCAGATAATCACTAATATAAACAGAAGCCGAATGATCGAAAAGCGAATGCAGCACCACAAGATGTAGAAAGTAAAAAGGCGCATCGAATGCTTGAATGCTTTCCAATAAGATATGCATTTTTGATGTGCACTGCACGACCAAATCTACACATACATGCCGGGGATCATATGGATATACATCGGTACTTTTAGGGCTATTTGTAAAATTGCTCCAGCAAAGAGCATTTCTAATTATTCGAAGGTGTCGGGTCAGTCTTTCGTCGCTGCTGACTCATATGGATTTTAAATATGAACGCACAGGGTGACACGCTGGTATCTTTTCTACAACAAACATAAACACTACGATGCAAGCATCATAGTTGAATGTCCTCGCATGTAGAGCGACTTTTTTGGGAATGTATCGCATCATGGAGTATCAGAGTATTGTATCTCATCTTTGATGTGGGCTAAGAGGACTGAGCTGCTACAAATATCTTCATCAAGCCTTCCGAAGCATATGACGATAGTGCGTCTATCTTCGTAGCAACAATACCGCGATATAAGATCTATCGCCATAATTACTACCGCCGTTAGAAGGTACGGATTTGTATCTACCGCAATAGTCTACCAGTATCGCGTGCTTGGTCAACAAGACACCTTTCTTATGTCCGAAAGCATTATCGTGACGTTCTTGTTGGTTTCTAACGGACTTTAGGCATAGTCGACATTAAATAGACTAGTACACCAGTTTTGGCCGATCACTCGCACGGTCGCACATATCGTCTTATTGGACGATGGAGCGTAGCATGCGTGCTCGACTAGCCCAAAAGAAGCTAGCGAATGATCGTGATAGCAGTGCATATCAAACAGCAAGTAGATATACTAGTTTGTCTTCCACCCAGTACCTACCACTCTATTGCACGCACCTGACTGCTAAAAATGGTAATGAGCTCAACTAAAGCCACTGTTGTCACGGACGAGTCCAAGGATACGAACCGTGATGCCACCAGATGCGAAAAATCCGATGAGCTAGAGATGAGAAGATAAGTCGGGAATCCTCAAGTGTGCGCATAATAAGCTGCCTGAACTACATGCAGGACTTGGACAGCGTGTAGAGCGCCTCGATATATCACAGTGGAGATTAAGTGTACAGAAGCATCTGGAAAATTAAACTCTTACTCCTTCTTTGGTTAGTCGCTAGTCTAAGGAAGGGCGATGTCACTTAGGCTCTCGATGTAAACGGGCACTGAGAGTAACGCACTGACGATAGTGCGTAGAAAGATCTCACTGATTATGGTGATAAATAGTGCCCTTGTTAACTAGCGTACACTGTACGCACAGAGAGAAAGACTTGGTATAAGACAAATAAGTGTAGTAGGAGAAAAGAAAATACGGTTTTAGTATTATCAGTCCATAGTGCGTCTTGCCTTATTTGTAACGGAGCACGCTCTAACCAGATTTATAATATGACTATGTGTTGATAGAACACAATGCTGCGTACTCCCGACGTCACGTTTACGTAGCGTGAGGAAGACCGAGGAAGTAAAAGGAACTCAAAAGCTCTGTTTAAGGAAAAATATAACTGTATTTAATATAGTTTAGTTTCCTAAAAAAATTTCTTTGTCGTAAAAAATCTAGCTATATTAAAATACAATCTCCTATGTGGGTTTCTCGCTCACCACCCAATGCGCGCGTCCAGCAGCAATTAATGATTAATTTGGTTGATGTAGCGTCTTCATCAACCAGTAGGTGTAGCAACCCATCAAACAACTATTACCCTCGGGGGTAATGTTTCCGCCAACCCGATCTCTTCTAGAGTAATGTTGATTATATATTATCGTAAATATAGGGTTAAATATTGGTGCGTTCGTACAGAAATTTATGTAACGGGCTCACCCCGTTACATCACCCCGCCCCCATAACCAATAGACACTGTGATGAGCGATTGAATTGTTTGGTAACATAGTGGATACCGTCTTGTTGATCTGGGGGAAATGGAATACTTGTAGATTTTGACTTCTCATTCTGAATTTCTCAGCGCATGACGATTTTATCTATGCGCTGCGCGAACAAGGCCGCCTCTAAAGCGGCTGCACGGATATGTCCAGCCGGCGCACAAGCAATCGAAGACTCGGCATCAGGAGTTTCTTCGCCTGCTGCTGCTGACAATCAGCCTGCAACATCCAATGTTTAAGGAGCACATGGTCATCCACGTGCAGCTTCGTCTGCGGGTGGTAGTCCCATGGACGTCGACCCCGAAATAGAGGCTGTCTATTCGGGTGAGTCAGACTCCCGGTCTGAATCGAAGTCTACCGCAAAGCTTGCCCGTAAAGCTGTGGGTGCGGAATTCACAAATGCTAAGACTCGTGGCAATTCGATAAGATTCTGCGCCACGAAATGTTTGGCTCATCCGACGAGTCTGAGTGCTCGTCGCGGAGATTGAACCGATCGCACTCGCAATTATATGATGCTAGTGAAAAACATGCGGACGTTAGTCATCGTGACGACGCCGATGACTCTTCATGCAGTCATCGTAGCTGTATCAATCCCAGTGATTGCGGCGATCATAGTGCCAATATATATGTTGGCACTACGCAAGAGGAGCAAGATCGTAACAAGTTTCGATCTGCTCCTGAAAACAAACCATGGATGCCTTTCCGACGCAATCTGGGGCAGTAGTATGGTTATACCACTAGAAATTATCGGATCCCACTCCTCGATTCGTCAAGACTCCATAGTCTTGATGTCAGTGCGAGTGAATATTGCACTTATTTTGATCCCATCGATGGCTTTTTCAGACATCGATGGTACCACAGCAATTTCAACAGAGACGAAATTTTGTTGGTGCAGGCGTGGAATACACTTATTGGTATCATTGAAAATTTTGACCGAGAAGCTTTGACAGACAAGCTTGTTTCAGCTTGCAATAGGTATAGACAGAATTAGTCTACCGGTGCTCAGTTTTAATTGCATTGATT